TTTTTTTTCATTTTGATGAAGATTAGGCAATATTCAGAAACAATATGTGCAACTGTTCCTTTAATTCTTTTGCAATCGGTCCGAGAAAACGGTTCGATGGATCGATTTAAAAATCAGCAGGGCTATGGGGAATACATTGAGCTGTAAAACACCTAAAAACATTAGTCTTCCCATTAATATTAGTGAATATGAGGTAGATTAACTAAAACAAGACAAAAAGTAACTTTTTTCTCTTTTCTTTAAATCAATGTTGAGTTTGAAAAAAAAAATTTTTCAAAAAATTATAAAAGGATCTTGTAAGACATTTACCCCAGTTTTTAACACTACCCTTATATTCTTTCTGTGGTCATTGGTTGCTGAGATATCGATGATCAAACACAAAAGAATCCTTTTTCATTTAAAGTCAGATATCTCAGCGACAAAGTGATGTAAAGAGAATATGAAAAAAGCGTTATTAAAGGTGAACGAACATGGTATCCGGCCTATACATTGACTTAACTAAAAAAAATTCCCGACATGTGGACCAAAAACAAAAACAAGAAAATTGCTATTACTTAGTTTGCGTGATAACCCTAGCACAGAAAAAAAAATTGACAAAAGATCTCAAAACTAGAAACTCAAAACTTCCAAATAGTTTTTTTAAATCTAGATACAATAATTTTTAGATAAATTACAGTCTTTAAAAAATCACCAAAAAATTTAGGAAAATTTTTTGTTCCTTTAATTTTTTGGAGTGGTGTATGTTAGAAATGTAATCTTGTATAACAGTTTGTTTGTTTTCAAGGCCGGACTGTAAGCCCCAGTGCGTGGAGGGATGCAACTGCCCCGAGGGCGAAGCCCTAGACGACGATGGGGAATGTGTGCCAATTGGGGAGTGCAAATGCCACTACGACGGCCTCCAATTTCACGCTGGCTACAAGGAAGTCAGGCCTGCCAGCAAAGGACCCGAGCTTTGTACTTGCATAAATGCTATGTGGAGCTGCCGACTTGCAACCCCCGAAGAACAGAAAAAATTTCCCAAAGCGACAGACCTAAAATCTCTTTGTAGTTCCTCCCAAAACATGGAATTTACAACTTGCGAACCTCCAGAGCCGATTACTTGTAAAAATATGCACAGTCCGGACTTCTACACGGCTTCAGTGTGTCATCCAGGGTGTAAATGTAAAGATGATTATGTGTTAGACACAACGACGAAGAAGTGTGTCAAGCCGTCGGAATGTCCGTGTCATCATGGGGGAAAAAGTTACAAGGAGGATGAAATAGTCAAAAACGACTGCAATACTTGGTAAGCCGTTTTTATTAATTTGTGAAAGAGTGAAGTGACATTCTGGGTGTTTTAGTAAATGCCAAAACGGGAAGTGGGAGTGTACAGACCGGCCCTGTGCTGGCGAATGCAGCGCCTGGGGGGACTCACATTTTCAGACTTTCGATGGAAAACACTACGATTTTCAAGGGCAGTGCGATTATGTGATGAGTAAGGGGGTTATTGGCAGCGATTCATATGAAATTTCGATACAGGCAAGTGACAAATTTCATCAAACTACCAAAAAACTCAAAATACATATTTCTTGGTGGAGTCTCACAAAATCTCATTTTGTAAATTTTGAAAATACTTAGAGATATTTTATACAGGGTGTCCCAACGAGTGAGTTGTAAAAGTCCATTAGTGACCTTTAAATGATGAAATTTAAAAAAAAATTGTCTAAGACATTGATAGATCCTAAAATTATTTTCAACCATACAGCATGTCCCAAAAATAAGTTACGATACAAACTTGTGTTTTTTTAAAATGAAACACCGTATGTTTCTTTGCATTTTTGGATGTAGCCTTTTAAATCAATCTTTTTACGCTAAACTTTCATTAGTCGTTTTCGCTTAGTTTTAGAAATAAGACGTTTTTTTACGAAACCATGCACTTTTTAAAAATCTATTACACAAAAACTAAGATAACTAGAACAAATTTTTTCTTACTTCTGCAAAGAAGAAAGTACAGAACTTAAAGCTGTAGCAATTTTTTAGTGTTTTGCATTTGTCCGTTGATTTGTCCAGAGATTGAAAAAGTCGTTATAAATACTGAAATGCGAATTATTTTATTGTAAAAATAAAGAATAATGGATTCAGTTTAACACAAATGTAATTATTAAGTGATATTTCTTCCATCTCTTCTGCAACTGTGCAATTTTTGGCTACGGTAATTAATACTAGTAATTATTTTTTTAATGTTTAACGTTAAATATCTTTTTAGTTATTGATTATAAACACCTAAAAGTAAATAATTTGAGAAAGACAATTTAATAATCTTTTAAATGCACAAACAATAAATAAGGTGTTCCATTTGAATTTTTTAAGTTATTGAAATTTTAACAAATTTTTTTATCTTTGCAAATGCAACACACTAAAAAAATCTTACAACCTTATAGCTTGTACGTTCTTCTTTACGGTTGTAAAAAAATCTAGATGGCTTAGTTTTTGTGTAATGAATTTTTAAAAAAAGCATGTTTTCGTCAAAAAACCGTCTAATTTTTAAAACTAAGCAAAATTGACCAATAAAATTTTAGCTTAAAAACATTGTCATAAAAATCTACATGCAAAAACGCTAAGAAAACATACGGTGTTTCATTTAAAAAAATACAAGTTTGTATTGTAACTTATTTTTGAGACACGCTGTATAGTTGAAAATAATTTTAGGCGGTGTACTAGATTAGTCCTATATAATTTTTTCTTAATTTTACCGTTTAAAGGTCACTAATGGACTTTTTCAACTCGCAGGGACACCCTGAATAAAATCATCTTTGGATTTCTACTGTTTTTTCGTCATAAAATTTGTTGTAATTTTCTTTGAAATTAATTATTTAGAACGTTCCTTGTGGCTCCCTCGGCACCAGTTGCTCCAAATCGGTCACAATCCGGGTGAAATCAGGTGAAGACCAGGACGTCCTCACTCTAACCCGTGACAAGACCTTACCCGATTTCGCCTCCATGAAACACCTAACAGTCCGCGAGAAAGGCCTCTTCGTCATAATCGAAGCCCCAGATTTAGGACTTACAGTCAAATGGGACAAAGGGACACGAGTATACGTCAAAARTGACCCTCGCTGGAAAGACAGAGTGAGGGGCTTGTGTGGCAATTACAACGACAACGACGCTGACGACTTCCAAACACCTTCAGGAGGTTTRACTGAAGCGTCAGCAAAGATTTTCGGGGATTCGTGGAAACTCCAGTCTTACTGCCCTGAAGCTTTGGAAATTMYAGTATGTTAGAAAAATTTTTATTGGCTAAATAAATTTGTGGTTTGGTTTAGAACACTTGTGAGGATCGACCAGACCGAAAAGTGTGGGCTTTGAAACAATGCGGGGTTTTAAAATCGCCCCTTTTTGCCCCCTGTCACTCCGAAGTCCCAGTTGATATATTTTTGGAAAAGTGCGTTTTTGATTCATGTGCGTGTGACCAAGGGGGTGATTGTGAGTGTTTATGTACGGCATTGGCAGCTTACGCCCAAGAATGTAACACTCATGGAGTTCCAATCAAGTGGAGATCACAAAAATTGTGTCGTAAGAATTATCACAAACTCAATTACAACACCACCAATCAAATTTTCAGCAATGCAATGTGACACACGCTGCTCCAATTATAACCCCTGTGTCTCAACGTGCCCCACTGAAACCTGCAATAATCTCCTAACCCAATCCCAATTGGGTAAAAATTGTAAAGAGGAGACTTGTGTCGAGGGTTGTGAGCCCAAACCTTGCCCTCCTGATCACATTTATCTCAATTCATCGATGTTTGAATGCGTTCCTCGAAATGTTTGCAAACCTCTTTGTTTGGAAATAGACGGAGTGACCTATTTTGAAGGAGATTTAGTCGAAGGGGATGAATGTTATAGTTGTTTTTGCTCCCGAGGACAGAAAGTGTGCAAGGGGCAGCCTTGTTCGACTACACCATTACCAACAACGCACCAGTTGGAGCAAAATATGAAATGTGAGTCTGGATGGAGCCAATGGATAAATCAGGATAAAGTCAAGCCGACTAAAACAGGACTAAGGAAGAAACAAACTGATTACGAACCTCTTCCAACACTCCTACTTTTGGTAGGTTTTGTTTTGTCCACTAGGTACGAAATTGTGTTGATTTGACCCGTTTTAGAATAATTTGCAAGGTGGTAAGTGTAGTCAAGACAAAATGGTTGGTATTGAATGTAGAACTGTCAAAACTCATCTTTCTCCTAAACAAACCGGTCTTGATGTTGAATGTAGTCTTGAAAAAGGCCTAATTTGTAAATCTTTATCTAAGGGAAAATTATGTCAAGATTTCGAAATCCGTATCCTCTGTCAATGCGGTAAATACTCGACTATTGGCCAAAAGAAAATCAAACAATTTTTAATGATTTTAGACGAGGCAACCACAACTATTGTTACACCTTGTGATCCGGTGAAACCCCATAAAGAACACCCAACCAATTGCCATATTTTCTACCATTGTGAGGATGGTCCCAATGGTCCTAAATATGTGGAAAAGACATGTGGGCCTAGCATGTATTATAATCCTGTAACGATGATTTGTGATTGGCCTTACGCTGTTGAGGAGATCAAACCGGAGTGTAAACAACCGGAAACTGTGGTTACGGAAGTGGAACCGGAAGCAGAAGTAGAAACTCCGGAACATAACAGACACCAGATTGAGTCGATGCAACTGCTACCGTCAATTKCCGTTAAAAGTRAGTGAAAATTTTTGATTCGAATTCTTAAATTTAAATTGAATTTAATGGATCACAAGACAAATTGTAAAAATTTCAAACGAACCTCAAATCAAAAATAAATTGCAATTGCTTGAAATTGAGTTTGATTTTTATATTTTTTGTTTAAAATGGAAATTATAAATTGCAGAGTAAAAATTATAATAATTTTCGAACATTTTAGTACATACCTATTTATAAAATCTTGGTTTCTGCCCGTAATACGATAATTTTAATAACATCAAAGCTTATCTGGTTAGAAAAATTAATAATTCTTGATTTTACACTTTTTTTACACACTTTGAGACGTTACAAATTTTGAAATCTTCAACTATAAACTTAGAAAATTATAATTTGAAAAACTAAGAAGGAGAAATATATAAATCTTGGAATCCCAAAACTTATGGATCTTAGAAATTTTATTCCCGAAACTTAGAATTTAACTTCTCTATAAATAGTTAATGATTTTTAAAGTGTTGAAACACCAGTGAAATACGACTTCTCAAGATTTTAAAACGTTGATTTTTCAAAAAGATTCAAATTTTAAGATCTTAAAATTTAGTTTCGAGTCTTGAACTAATGTAAATTTGAAACCTTGAAAGTGTAGAGTGCCAAAAAACACAAAATATTCGTTTACCTCCAATTATGCTTTCCAATATACAAATCTTGGAATCCCAAAACCTATGTATCTTAGAAATTTTATTCCAAAATCTTAGAATTTAACTTCTCTACAGATAGTTCATGATTTTCAAAGTTGTTGAAACAACAGTGAAATACGACTTCTCAAACGTTGATTTTTCAAAAAAAATCAAATTTTAAAATCCTAAAATTTAGTTTCAAGTCTTGAACTAATGTAAATTTGAAACCTTGAAARTGTAGAAAGCCAAAAAAACACAAAATATTCGTTTACCTCCAATTATGCCTTTCCAGAATGTCCCCTTGACAGTCAAGAACACGAATGTGCCATACAATGTGACCATCTGTGTCTTTACTACTCTCACATAATAAAAACAAGCGGAAAATGCGAAAACGGCGAAAAATGTGAACCTGGATGTGTAAGAACTGACAAAAATGTAACATGCCCTCCGGGCATGTTTTGGTCAAATGAGGACACTTGTGTGGCTTTGGAGGATTGTTTATGTCGATCAAATGACGGAAAACCGGTCAAAGTACAATTTTTATTTTTACAGTATCGAATTTATCACAATTGTTACAGCCTGGAACTGTCTACAGAGAGTCCGATTGTCGCGTATGTCAATGTATCAACAATTACTACACTTGCGACGAATCAGAATGTAAAGAAGAGGAGCAAGACAAAGACTTGCTAGAATCACAAGTTACAGATTATAAAGGMAAGGAAGTTAAAATAACAACTGGTGTAACTGTTCTACCTCTGGTGCCAAGCACAGTAACACCACCCGAAAAATGCGACGAGGACCACTTCATTGATTTAATCCAAGGCGATCAACCCCTTCCAAATGTTATATTCAACGCTAGTAGTGTCCTAAGCTCGGCTTTTAAACCCGAATTTGCCAAATTTAATAGCAAAGTGGGGACTAAAAGTGGCGGAAGCTGGGTCCCAGAATACTCAAACAATTTGCAATATTTGGAAATTAATTTGGGGCAGCAAGAACCGGTCTATGGGGTCAAAATAAAAGGAAGTCCACTGTATGATGAGTACGTTACAAGTTACAAAATGACGTATAGTCCCGACTCGAGTGGGAGTTTTTTCCCGGTTTTGAACAAAGATCGATTACCTCAGGTAAAAATTAGAAATATTTTAGTTAAGTAAGTTTGATTTCTTTTTTAGATATTCAGAGGCTCGATTGATGCTACCACTCCAGTTCAGGAATTGTTCGATATACCATTTGAAGCCCAAATTGTGAGAATTCATCCTGAAACGTGGCACATAGGAATAGCCCTAAGGGTTGAATTGATTGGGTGTGGGGAGCCTTTAACTACTACTGTTCTCTACGAGTTCATCACGGTACTAATTAATTGTGGTTTAGTTGGTTTTTATTGAAAAAATATTTAGATTCATGCTGCAACTTCTCCCAAACCCCAAATGTGTGACGATCCCATGGGATTAGATAACGAGATGATGTCACATCGTCAAGTTTCCGTAAGCTCAGAATTAGATAACAATCACACTAAATCAAATCTTAAGATAAATGGTGATGATGTATGGCAACCTTTAACCAACTCGATGACGGAATTTGTTCAAGTAATGTTACAAAAAAGTTTTGTCAAAAGATTAAATTTTGTTTCCAGTTGGATTTCTTGGAACCACGGAATGTGACAGGTGTTGAGACGAAAGGAGGTCCTAATGGTTGGGTGACAGCTTACACTGTTCAATATTCACAAGACAATAAAGCTTGGAACCCAATTTTGGATAAGAAGACGATGAAAGAGAAAATATTCCTGGGGAATTATGATTCTAACACTCCACAAATCAACAATTTTGAATTACCAATTAATGCAAGATACGTTAAAATAGTCCCGAAGAAGTGGAACGAGAATATACAGATGAGGGTTGAGATGCATGGTTGTTTTGAACCCTATCGTAAGTTTTGGACCCAAATCCAAAATCCTGTTTACAAACTTAAAATTGGCAGCCCCCCTCCCAGAAGAACCCTCGACCGTCATCCCCCCGACTTGCAACCACTGCCCTGGGGTGACCACCGAACCTCTCGAACTCCACGCTTGTCGATGCAAACCAGAAAAATGGTGGGATGGCGAAAACTGCGTCTCGAAAACAGAATGTCCTTGCATCATCGGCCACATTTCTTATCCGGTAGGAACTTCATACAAAAAGGAGGATTGTTCGGAATGTCTCTGCAAGATTGGCGGTGTGCCCCACTGTACCCCCAAACAATGCGAAACTTGCGAAAAGGGACTCCGAAGTACGGTCACTTCGACTTGCAAATGCACTTGTCAACCATGCCCTGACGGTACGGTTTTGTGCCCCACAAGCAGCGTTTGCATTAACGCGACTTTGTGGTGCAACGGGGTGCAAGATTGTCCCGATGATGAAGTTGGCTGTCCAACAACTATCACCGAGATTCTAAGAACGACAACGGCAAAACCCACTACTGTGGTTACTCAAAGTCAATATTTGACAATTTTTCTTAATAAAAAAAATTAATAAAAACCGTTGCAGAACCTGTAGTTAAATGTCCAGTACTTGAGTGTCCCACAGGGTTCAAAAGACACGTCAAAAGGCCGACTAAAGGTCGCAAGTACCAATCATCAATGTTTTCGAATTATCATCAAAATTTTCAAAAAACATCCTATAAAAGTCATGCCGGAGTCAAGAGTGGAGTCAAGACGACTTATCGGAAAACACCCCTTAAAAAACCAATTCGGCCACAAAACCAAAACAATTGTACCGAATACGTGTGTGTTTCAGCAAAGCCGGCCCCCAAATACATGCATTCGAAAAAAGAATGCCCTCCTGCGATATGCCCAGAAGGCTATATCCCATTTTTCGGAAATGAAGATTTTGTTATGAATCAATGCCCCGAATACACATGTGAGCTAGCACCGAAACCGGACGCCGTTTGTAACGTTACAGGCCGCACTTTTAACACTTTTGACAACACTGAGTACAAGTATGATGTTTGTAACCATATCCTGGCTCGAGATTTGGAAAATGACGAGTGGGAAGTGACTCGTAAAGAACGAATCCTTGTTTTTTCTTCTGTAATAATATTTATGGGTTTTAGTTCGAAAAAATTGTGTTGAAAAGTGTTGGAGGGACCTCATTATCCAACACCAAGATCATTTATTCGTGCTACATCCTAATCTCACAGCTGAATACGACGGTTTTTCGTATACTGTCGAACAGACGAAAAAAATCGGCTCTAACACAAAATCATTTGCTTTGTCTCGTCTCGGCAATACTATTCTTTTTGTGTCAAATAAGTACGGCTTTTGGGTCATTTGGGATAAAGAAGGGAATGTCAAATTGGGGGTTACGAGAAAATTGGTCGATAAAGTTGATGGTCTTTGTGGTTATTTCAATGAGGATTCCTCTGATGATAAGAAAAAACCTGATGGTAGTTTATCCCGGACCACTGTCGATTTTGGGGATAGTTGGGCACATGTTGATCAATTCCAAAGTTGCGAGCCTCAAACTTGCCCTCTCCACCTCCAAAAGAAGGCTTGGGAGATTTGTCAAGTCAAGTAAGTGTTGATTGTAATCGTTACTTAAAAGTGCAATTTTCTCCTTAGGGAACTAGTGTTAGAACCTTGCACTCGCGTTGTCGATAAAGACTCCTTCATTTCCCGCTGCGTTGAAACCACCTGTGACTGTCTCCAAGCCTCAGGAAGCAACAACACAGCTTCAGAGCAATGTCGATGCCACTCTCTTGAAAATTTCGTCGTTGAATGTTTGACCAGAAATCCAAACCTTGATATATCCGACTGGAGGACTCTTCTGGATTGTCGTACGCAATATTCCTTTTTTTATTTTCTACAAATTATTATTATTGTTTCAGCGGCGACTTGTGAAGCCCCTCTGGTTTACCACGACTGTTACCAACGCAAATGCGAGCCGACTTGTGAATCCCTGTCAAATCCCGAATTGGCATGCCCAAAACTGCCCAGTGTGTGCTTCCCTGGTTGTTATTGCCCTTCAGGGATGGTCAAAAAGGGGGATACTTGCATCAGTCCCTCCAATTGCAGAGATTGCGAATGTAATGTCCTCCCACACCTCCAATACGTTACTTACGATGAAAGAAATTTCACCATCAATGCGAATTGTGTCTATGTGATGTCACGGGATGTCGCTGGTGATAGTGACAATCACAAGTTTCAAGTTTTGATCACTAATGCTCCTTGCAAGAATAATGAGGAAAAGACGTGTGTTGGCAAAGTCACGATTTTGTACCAAGGACACAAAATCCACATTCTCAACGATATGATACGAAATAAATTGAAATTGATCGTCGATGGTGAAAAAATTGATGACTTCAGTGAAATCACTTGGGGTCAAATCAGGGAAACTTCAAGTAAACATTTCAAGATTCATTTGGTCGAAGTTCAAATCGAAGTATCAGTCTATTATCCGTCTCTGGGGGTGTCAGTCAAAGCCCCCTCCACCAAATATGGAGGCAAACTCGAAGGTTTGTGTGGTGATTGTGACCACAACCCTCTTGATGATTTTAAAACCCCTTCTGGAGCCATAACTAATGACACAAATGACTTTGCCCTAAGCTGGCTCTACGATAAACTCCCGGGAGGACAATCAAGAGAAATGTGTCAAAACAAACCGGACGATTGCCCTCCATTGCCCAAAGAGCAAGATCCTTGTAACATCATTCTGGACTATAAGACTTTCGGGCAATGTTTACGTGTTTTGGACCCGAGTCTTTTCCTCGAATGGTGCCAAAAAGACACTTGTGACAACCACCCCGAACTCGCTTGTAGTGCCATCGAAGCCTACGCTCGGGATTGTGCAAGTGCTGGTTTTTGTATTGACTGGAGGACCGACATTTGTCCCAAAACGTGCCCTTCGGATAAAATTTACAACCCTTGTGGGAGTAAATGTCCGAAAACCTGCGAAAGTGTGAAGGAGAAAGAAAAAGGGTGCTCGAGTTTACCAGTTGAAGGCTGTTTCTGTCCCGAAGGATTGGTACTTTTTCCCCTTATCAGTGATAAATATCCGAAAATTTGATTGTAGGTCCTGAGGAATGACACATGTGTGGAGGAGAAAGATTGTGAAGTTTGTGATGATGAAGGCCACCATCCGGGCGACACTTGGAAGAAGGATAAATGTACAAGTTGTACCTGTGAAGGTACTTCGATCAAGTGTGAGAAGGAGCATTGCTCCAGTGATAAAATTTGTGAGCAAGGGTTCCAAGTTGTGAAAATTTCGGGGAAAGAGGATGAGTGTTGTGATAAATACGCATGTGGTAAGTAATTCCGCATCCAATTATTATTTATTTTACTCGTAGTATTCAAAAAAAAATGCGTCGGTGTTTTCAAAATAAAGTCTGTTTGCCTGTTTTAACCCATTTGATCGCACGAAACTTTTTTTCAAAATTTTATTTTAGTTTTCAAGTTTTTATAATCATTTGTGTCTATGAAACATTAAAAAATTATTCACTGAAATTGTTTTCTAAAATTTTTAAATTTTTTATTGTTCGACAAAATGTAAACCAAATGTAATTCACTGGTTGAGTACACAAATAACACAAAACAAGAACACACTTCCAATGTAAAGGAAAAAGAATACATGTGCTAACAATTTTTGAAAAAAAGATATTAATTTGCACATGTTTCTACTTTATCACGTATTCACGAATAAGAAACCAATTTGCAGCTTTACTTACTCGTAAATGTGCGGTGGGACGAAATGGGTTAATTGCAATAAAAGTAAGCCCGATTTTCAAAGCAAAAGTCGCTGTCATTAAAAGAAAATCCAGTCAATAAAAATATAAATTTATTTCAACGTAGGATATGTTAATATGTAAATAAGAGAATTTTTACACTAATTTAGTGGTAATAAGTAGAATCTAATCAAACTAAATAATACAGAGTGATTAAAAAAAAACGGTAGGCGCTGTATAATTGTTATTTATGGCCCGATTTCAAAAATTAAAAAAGTAAATTAAAGTAATGGCGTTTAATATAGCATAAGCTAACAATTTTAGAATCTTTCTAAATATCATAGTATGTTTTGGGCTATATTCAACTTCCTAATTTTAAATAGGGACCAAATTTTATTTTACATACAAATTTTAAAAAATTACGTTAACAATAACATTATTAAAAGTAAACAAAATAAATAAACAATTATAAAATAAATAATCATACTAAATTAGATGTTTTTCAGCTTTGTTATAAGTAATTATTATTGTCATTTACTATTAAAAATTTGAAAAAATATTGGCACTATTTTCTTTTATTTGCTGCAACAATGGCATTGTCTTATTTAACACCATGCAACTAGATCTCATTAACTTCTGTTTTTTTTAAATTATGATATTTATATAATAACAAAAATTTAATAATAATTAGAAAGTTGAACATACACCAAAATGCACCATGTCAGCTTATACTTTATTAAAAGCTATTTAATTTAGTTTTTTAATTTTTGAATTCGGGCCATAAAGAAAAACTCTACACCGCCTGCCGTTTTTTTAAATCACCCTGTATAAATTTTGGAAAAGCAAAAATAAGAACAAATGTCACATACGAGTAAATTTGGATTTTTTATTTTTCTGCCACAAATTCAAATTTGTTCCAGTGCCAGAACCCACTTCCGGCCCCACCTGTGAGCCCCCTCAGGTCATTTCCTGCGGCCTGGGTCAAGTAATGAAACTCTCAACAAAACCAAACGGTTGTCAACAATTCATCTGCGAATGCAAACCAGTCGAAGAGTGCGAACCGATAAACCAAGCGATTGAATTCCCCCTTGACGATGGTTACGTCAGAACAATCGACCATAGTGGTTGTTGCCCCGAACTAAAAATAATTTGCAAGAAAGACACTTGTCCTAAACCGAAAGAATGTCCCCAATATCACACTCTCAAGAATGAAACCGGCAAGTGTTGTCCTTTATACACTTGCGAACCCCCGAAAAATAAATGCATCTTCGATTACGAATTCACTGCGGATGAAAAAGGGGGCGAAAGGCCGCGAACTGCGATCGAGAAACAGAAAGTTTTGAAAAATGCTAACGAGACTTGGGAGGACGGACCCTGTCGTAGTTGCAAATGTTTGCAGACAAGTATTGGAAATTATCAACCGAGTTGTACCCAAACTGATTGCTCGGCTATTGAAATATCGCAGGATTACCTCGATTATGAGCTAGAACCGGAGTTTATCTACGACCAGTGTTGCCCAAATATCAAACGAGTGGCGTGCAAACATGGGGAAAAAGTGTACAAAGTTGGCGAAAAGTGGACTCTTGAGGACGATTTTTGCACGGTTTATGAGTGTGTGAATGGCACTTCAGGGGTTCAGAAGGAGACACAAATCAAAAATTGCGATACCGATTGCGAGTTAGGGTTCGAATATGTCCCGGCAACGCCGCAATCGAAGCAATGTTGCGGTTCTTGTAAGCCGTTTGCGTGCGTTGTTGAAGGGGAAGTACACAAAATTGGGACTGAGTGGAACTCGAGCGATTTCTGCACGAAATTTTCGTGCCTCAATACCAATGGCTCGGTATGAAAATTCACATGTCTCAGTGAGACAAATCAAATGCACTAAAAAAATTCAAAAAGTCTACACACTTTGAACTAAATGATTTTGGCGAATAAACAAAAACTGTTTCTTTACTTAAAACAAACAAAGAGTACCTGCGTACTAATTAAAGCAAATAAAGAGTTTTTTTGTTCTGAAAATGACCACTTACCATTAAGCAAAGAAGATCTAGAAGTTTAAGGCACTAGCCAAGGGCAAATCTTTTTCAAATCAAATCACTTTCCATTCAGATTCCGACTTGTTCACTTTGTTCTAGGTTTCTGAACAAAAAAACTCTTTATTTGCTTTAATTAGTACGCAGGTACTATTTGTTTGTTTTAATAAAAAAAAACAGTTTTTGGTTATTCTAATTAGAACGAAGAAGGTGCAATTGACTATTTTTAAGCAAAAGAAGTCTTAAAACAAATACTTAAAAAAAAATGCAATTTTAAATAAGATTAACATACATTTCTCCTATATGGCGTAATGCTTGATTAGCAAATCTTAACTTCAAAAAATCACATCATGAAAACCACTCGGTAACTCTTTTAAAAATTTGGATTTCAACTAATAAAGAGATGCTCTATACGATGGTGATGATGAAAAAAAAAACTTACGCGTAGGGTTTTTCTTAGATTATTTCGATTTACTTCAAACTTCTTCGACCACTGTTCAAAAAAAAGTTCGCAAATACTAAATTTCAAATTACATATCATTCTAAATGGCGCAAGTTCATCCCTATAAAATGGTCTTTATTTGAAGGAAATCGGCCAAATAGTTATTGAGTAATGATTTTTTGAAATTAAAGTATTTTAAATTCATTTAAATTAGAAAAAAATCTAGTTCAAAGTGTGTAGACTTTTTGAATTTTTTTTAGTGCATTTGATTTGTCTCACTGAGATAAACAAAATGATATATAATTTGTCAAGTTGTCACGACATTACTTTTTTTTGTCACCCTGTGTTTTTTTTTTCATTATTAACTTTTTTGTAGATTCAAGTACAGTCAACCAAAGTTACATGTCCGGAGTTACCCAACGATTATGTTGATAATTTTGTTGTCGAAACAATTCCGGTGAAGGATGAGTGTTGCAAGAAACACAAAACGACGGCTTGTAAAGTCGAGGGGAAGGTCTATAATGTAGGAGAAACTTGGCCGTCGCCTGATGGTGATAAGTGCAAAAAAATAACATGTGTTAGGAATAAGAAAGGGGAAATTATGAAGCAGGAGTCGGTGGAGACGTGCAAAACCAATTGCTCGAAGGTGATGAAAAAATTAAATTATTAAAGATTTAATTATGATTTCATGACGTGTATTTTTTAATTTTTAATAGGGTTGGGAATATAAAGAGTCTGAATCTTCCTGTTGCGGTGAATGTGTCCGTGTTGCTTGTGTGGTTGACGAAAAATTGAAAAAACCGGGCGAAAATTGGACTTCCCCCGATAATTGTACGACTTACATTTGCGAGCAATTCGGCGATGAATTTATCGTTTCAAGTCAACAAGAATCGTGTCCATCGCTTGAAGACTGTCCCAAGGAAAATATTTACGTCAAGGGTTGTTGTAAACATTGTAACATTACATCAGGATCTCAGCGTAAGTGTTTCTTAGCACAGCCAACAGGTTAGGAATTTTTAGAAATTCCAATTTCAAAATGTGGAAATCAAACCCTAAAATGGAAATTATATTAAAAAATCCAACTCCCATTTTATCTCAAAATTTTTAAACTTGAAGTTTCTACGTTTAGACTCAAAATTTCTCTGTATAAGTTTCTTGTAATTTTGATTTTGAGTTAAAATTTTTCGAATAAAAATTCTGACTTTCAAGCCTGGAATTCCAGTAATCTAATCTCTGAATTTTGACCACAAATTCCAACTAAATTTAGGAATCAGATCTACTTCAGAAAATTAGATAAAATAAAAAAATCTGACTTTCAAACTCGAAATATCTCAATACACTAGTTCTTAAACTCAAATTTTCAATCTTTACACTAAAGAAAATTAATTAAAATTTGGACTTCCCCGTATTCAATTTTTCCGACTTTTTACTTGAACGTTGTAATTCACGATTCTGACCGTAGAGAACAAAATTTTTACTTCTAAATCCGAACTAGAATTTAAAAATTCCGCATTTTGACTTTCAGACTGCGAATAATGCTTTTAAGCTCATAAATTCGACTTTTTTAGAGCAATGCAGCGCTGAGGCAATTCCACTCAACAAAACTATTTCGTTGATAAGCGCTCACAGAACCGACCACGGAAAATGCGTAAACAAGAAACACATTCACAAATTCACCGAATGTGTGGGAAGTTGCCACTCTGCCACCTTTTTCGACACAAGTTTGTTTCCATTAATTCATGTTTAGTCAATAATTGATAATTTGCAGAGAAAGGTTCACACGAAAGCGTCTGTTCTTGTTGTCAAGCGACTGATTATAAATCAATTGAAGTGGAGTTAGAATGTGAAGATGGGTACACTTGGAAGAAAAAAGTAGCAGTACCATCAGAATGTGGTTGTGAGGGTTGTGCCGCTGCACAGAAATCCGTAAAACATAAGAAAACTTCGTTTGTTAAATCGTAATTGGCTTTATTGAAATGATTTATTTTTGTACGTTTTTTCACTTATTTTAATAAAATGCAATGAAGGAGTTGTTGTTTTTGATTTGGGATATAGAAAAAAAGGAAAGATAGTAAAATTTTATTGCAACACCGACTGGTTTATAATCTTTGGTAAAAAATTATAGTAACATTATGTACAAGTTAGTTTGTTTTTGATTGGAAATTAACGCTACTACAGAAAACAACCCCTATGAAAAATAAATAAAACCAAATGCGCGACGACAGCCTATTTACATTATTTTACATAAAAAGCGAATTTATAAAGGCACTTGAAATAAATAGGACAAATAATAGATAACAAAAAGTATACATAATAAAAACCACCAACTGAATAAAAATCAACAATAATACTAACAAGAACCGAATAAGTGCAAAAAACGTTCAGTCTTCTAAATTGATAATATTGTCGCTGCTCAAAGTATAGAGTCGTTCAAAATACAACCTTTTGGCGTAATTAATTTGCTGTGAAACGGATTTTGCCAAATCTGCAGTTTTACACCGAACCCGTGGTTTTTTCACCGGATCCGGATTCACTAAAGCTGCACTTGTTCCAGCGACATGCATGACAATTTCGATGTAATATCTCGACTCGGATCCTTCTTTCTCAACAATCACATCACACGACTCCAAATCACTGGAAAATACATTTATTTCCGGGTAAAATGACCCGGAATTGACTCACCTCAAGTGRCAATCGATGACCGGAGTCAAATCCGGTGCGTGTGTGCTTGCCACAATRCGAAATTTCAAATTGGAAACTATACAATGTAAATCCTCAGAAGCACTACCAAGGATTTCGTATGCTACCAGCTGTTCTTTATAATCCCTACATGACTCGATTAGCTAACACCAAAATTGATTTAAGTTACTTACTTATCGTTAACTATGTATAAATAGAGTTGGCCTTGGCTTTGCTTGTAACTGTAACGAGGTAAGAGGCTTCCAGGGCCGCAGACACATCGTGGGAGCCTAATTCGCTCAGGGACGGAYTTGCTACAAGCCCAAAAATATGMATTTTTTTCATTGAATCAAACGCGAACTTCTGATTCACAATTCCTATTTTCGAACTTAAAACTCAGATCTTTTCAAAGTCATAAATACAAGACTCAAAAATAAAAATTTTAATTTTGAAATTTGGTATTAAATTTCTGTGTTCTAAACTGTCAGACTAGGAATTTAAAACGTTAAATTTCTACTAAAACTTTGACTTACCTGCGACTCGAATCTCGCACAGCTCTCGCCGTCTCCGACGCAAAATCCAGCACACCCACCACGGGTTTGGTCACAGCCCCAACCAATCCTTTCCCAATCCCAGAAATSACCCCCGGAAGCCCATCATTCGACGCCCCCTCATAAACCTGTTTGAATAAACCAGTAGCACCCCCCAAAATACCAAACCCTAATCCCTTAAAACCGGCAACAATGTGATCCCGACTTCGACCACTCTCAACTTGTCTAATTTTTTGACGAACTTCCTCATGATGATCATCCAAGACAGCTCGACCCAAACCGTCCGAAATCGACTCAGTGACCTTAACGGCGCTATTAGAAATCCCATGAGTGACATTTTTGACTAAAGCTCCAACGTTGCCCTCGAACAAAAGTCCCGAAAAGCCCTCAGAAACGTCGTTGACGAAACCTAGCGGATTGCCAAGGAAATCAACAGAGACTAGGATAATCCCCGCTTGCCACATCAATTCCTGAAGTGGGAGAAAATATTAACAAAATTACAGTGGGTATCTTTACCGACTTACATCCTTGAAGTGCTTGATTATGGAATTGATCAAAAACTGGCTCGTTTCGAAAAGATGGCGACGATCTAAGGCTTGCAAGTCGACAGCAGCATCCTCGAATTTAATTAAAGTCAAACCTAACTTTCGCTTAATTTTTTGCAAATGTGGTGGAAGTTTTGTTGCGGTTTTGACACTAAGTCTTATCTGATCTAAAATTAGTTGGATGACTCCGAAATAGTAGCGTTTAGCATGAGCTGCTGACACTTCAAGTAACAATCGCTGCACTTCGTAATCATTTTCGTCTTTATTTATCAATTCTTCTTCCCGTGAATGGTAACCAATAAAGTCAAACAGCTTGAGGAGAAGTTTCTCTTCCAGGATAATCGTGATTTTTTTCAAACGCAAAATTAGGTATTTGAAAATTTCTGCATTCATGTTTAACTTTTCTTGCAATTCGGCTGTAAAATCAATCGCCGGCAATTTATTATTAATTTCGTCATTATTTCGTGAACTCGGAGGCGTGACATAGAGTACCACTGGTACTGGCGTTTCAAACAATTGATTATCGATCTGTACATCCCCCACACTAATACAAAATTGTTTCGAAGATGGCGTTATAACAGTCTCGCCTACTATATTTGAGAATAATGCATAGAGTAGCTCTTCTGGTGTTTTACAACACACTAGACTTATCCCTAGACCTTCTAAATTTATAGTTACTTGTAACTCCCTTTTGTCATTTTTGTCTTGATTTTCGTCGATTGTCAGATTCGGGCGTTGTTTCAGTGAAATACTGCCCCATTCGCGTTCGTCTGGAGTCGCGTAAATTCGGGATTCTTTCGCATCTTTAATGCTTAACACTCGGGTGGGGCCGTCCATTGTCACACTGACAKATAAAAGGCCCGAACCGGGCCGAAGTCTTTGGCGACTTATGGCTTGTTCGATTGGTATCCCTGTGTCTGTCATTTTGTGGCAGACAGGTTGAGGGCAACCCAAAACGGCTGAGTTCCCTGTAAAAAAGGGCATTGTGTGGTAAAACAAAAACACTAAGAAGGGAAATGTAGGGTCCAAGATATTAAAAAAATCGTAGTGTAAAAATTCTGAAACTCAAAATGCTGATTTTTTTCTAAAATAAGTATATTATGATTTTTGAACTCCAAATTTCTACTTTCGAAATTCCGAATTCTGTTTTCAACTTCACTCACTGGTATTCAAAATTTAAACTTTAATATTGGAAATTTCAATTTTCAAACCTGAAATTCTAGCTTAGAACATTACCAGTATGTAAATTTCTCATTTTAAAATAAAAAATTCTGTAAGCTAAGAGGCTTCCATTGTAGAGTATAGACTTGAAAAAGAGTAYAGTAAGTGACTTGARAAAGAGACTTGAAACTTTCGCTTTGTAAAAAAGTTTAGTCTTAAAAATGCTAAACATTTGCTTTAAAAAATACGAAATTCCAACTTTTATGTAGAAATACCGGTAGTATTCGCTAATAAACTCAAAATTCTGGTTTCAGAAAAAGTATTTTAACATCGAAACTGTGTTTTTATAAACAATAATGTTTTTATTATACCTGCATCATAATCGTAAACTAAAAAACGTTGCAGCGTGCGTAATTTGGCCTTTATAGCACGCTGAATTTTAAAGGTGTCTAGGTAACAAGAAATAGTGAWATGTCTGGACCAATTACAACGTGAAAAAATGTGCTTAACAACGTAAACTAKTAACCTCTCTACGAAAACGATTCACAAACAACCTTTGATAATTTTATTGTGTAAATTCACATTTTTTCAATGCTCATAAAAGATCGTAAATGGGCAGGTATAATAAAAAATAGCGTATAACACTCGTTTATAAACGCCTTTAAAACACTTACGACGTTAAAAGCACTCCGCTGACGCGTCGTGCTCTTAAACCCGTGCGTGTTTTAAAGGCTTGCTTATAAACTAGTATTATAATATACTGTTGTATTAAAATCTTCTATTCTGTAAAGAACACAAACTTTTTACTTGAAATTTAGTATTCAACAAACTTTTGATTTCTAATTTCTAAATTAATTTAAAATAGGAAATTCTGATTTCAAACTTCAGAGTTGGTGGAATATTCGGCATTTCGACTCAAAATTCCCACTTAAAGGGTCAGATCATAACTTTCAAAAATAGAACAAAGTTTTTTCAGAATTCATTATTTCAGAATTTATTTTTGGTTCGATTTAAAATTTTAACAAACTCGAAATAATTATGCATAACACAAGACTTTAACTTTTATATTCTGAATTTAAACTTAAAATTTTCGCTTTCAAATTTAGAATTCCGATTTTTAAACAAGAAATTCTGGTTTTGAGCCACAATTTCCGATAAAAACGAGTTTTGTGCGTCTTCTAAATGAAGAGTTTTTTCATTAAACTTTTGTGCACTGTGCAAACGACTTAAAAAAATTACAGCCATGCAAAATAAAAACAAAGCAAACAACATAATTACATACACTGCTGCCAACTGCCGGCATTTCTCCCACCTAGAAAAACCCCAAAGCTGAAATACCAAATGTCATTATTTTATTTTTACCTTGTCTTAACCCGAAAAACCCATCCTGGGCTTGCACACACATACTAGAATGTGCACAACACAACCTCCCTTCCTCGGTAAACCTCCAAGTCTGAGTCGACCTCCTTCTCGGGTCCACACGACGCAAAACCAACCTCGAATAGGTATTAGGTTGAGGCGCAGTATTCTCGATATCGAGGACGAGAATATTATCTGATCTAGTCGGCTGGTGAGGATGCGAGGGTGGACTGCTACCTTCGTGTTGGAGACGACCTTCGGGGGTCATCCGCCAGAGTTGTGACCTCAAACCATGACGTTTCCGGTTTAGAATCACTTGATTTTTTGCAACGTCTAGAACTAATTCCTGGCTTTCAACATCTAGAGGATCTAGAACGTCTTGACCGCTAAAAACACACATTTACGACACTAGATAACGCCATTATAAAAATTTAATACTTTTTGAATGTTCCGGTAAAAGCAATGTAAATAAAATTTTCATAAGTCAGACCAGAAGCTTTTCCTAATTTATTCAAATCGTATGTATCTGAAACTCCTCCGGGGACCGTCACCGTCAGGAATTGTCTCTCAGTGGGTTGATCCCAAGCATAGGGCACACTAGTGTGAGCCCTTGCTGTGCTATGCATCAAATCCTTACAACTCGTTTGTGCAAAAGTAATAGTCACTTCTGAAAAATTGTCGACTCTGATTGGTGGTGGCAGAGTGTCAGCGTCAGTGAAAATAATAAAAAACGTCGCTCCTTGTAACAGTACTTCCAACCTTATAAAATAAACACGCCCGTTTGAGTCTCTCACATTCACATGCAAAGAATTGATTTCATCAATTTTTAAACCACCTGACCAACAACAATCGGGAATATCTTGGATTGAGACACATAATAATTGGTCTTTGTCCAGTCGTGGCCAATGAAATGGAATGTGTGAGTTAGGCATGGCCTTAAGACAAGTCTTTTGTGACTTAGAGTCCGTCTACAAATTGGAATTTGGGAAAAACGTCTTTGGGGAAAAAAGACTTACGAAGTTTCTGGCGAAACAACTTTGAGTAAAAATAAGTTTGTATGAGGTTTGGTTGTATAGCTGATATCGTGGTGATATTGTTATAATATTGACGGATCTGTATTTGCCACGTCCCGGTCTTACTTCAACACCGACTATGAAAACCGTGTCAGGTTTACCGTCACGCATGGTCACGTGGAGTTTCTTGACTTGTATGCCCTTCTGGACATGGAAATTGGAACACCACTAAAACATATTAACTTATTTTATACACATTGTTTGACCATTAAGAAAATATGACTTTTAGTTTTTTTCTGGTAACCAAAATTTTTAAAAAACTACTACTTAAAGTTCTAAAACAAATGTATGAATGAAAAATATTAAACCCTAGTTGTTAAACCAACTTCAATTTCAAAAATAGTTATTTTGGAATTAATGTCTAAATTCATAATTTCAGAAATTCTAAACATGAATTAAAACTTCTAAACTCAAAGCATGTAGTAAACTTTTTTTATATTGTGTATAAATAAAAACTTCAGGGTCTAATTTCTGATAGTATTCTGCGTAAAAAAATCAAAATTGACATTTAAGTTGAAAATTTCAACAAAATCAAGAATTTTAGTTTTTGTACTATAGAAAATTTCAAATTGTATTCTATACAGGGTGCGCCAGAACTCGCGCCTCAGAGAAAAATGCCATATAAGGTAAGATACCAGGAACATAGAAAGAATGTTAAAAAAAAATTATCTAAAAAAATTTCGAAGTTATGAGAGTTTAAATTTGGCACTTTGACTCTATTTATTTCTGATGGAAAAATTATTTTCTAAGTTTTTTGCTACAGTCTATTAGAAGAGGAAACAAGGAAGCTGTATCCTAAATTGTAACTCCGTTTAATGTTATTTGTGGCTTTTATTGGCAAAATTTTTATACCTTTACTAAATAATTGTAAAAAAACATATACAAGATCATCACTATCATTAAATAGACATGAAAAAATGTCAAATGTCAAAAAATAAATGTCAAAATTTTTTGACAGATAGAATTTTTTAAACATTTTTTTCATGTTCCTGGTATCTTATCTTACTTGAAATTTTTCTCTGGGACGCGAGTTCTGGCGCACCCTGTATAAAACAGAGAATTGTGAATTTTAAATACAAAATTCCTAGACTCGCAATTCGCATCAGTGTTTCAAACTAATATAGTCTAAAAAGCCAATTCCGACCCAATCAAAAATTCGAATTTTCATATCCGGAATTCTGATTTAGAACCCTAGAAATATACAGTATTTCCCTGGATTAAGTTTACAAGAGGAAAAAAATATCTTTAATAATTTTCCGTCAAAACTTCAAATGAAGAACATTTTTTGCTTAACATGACACGAGCTAATCTAGTATAATAATTAAAACTTCATTATTCTGATTCTCTAAAATGAAAAGTTAATTTCTCTCTACTTTTTAAATTCCATCCCAGTGGCGGTTTTAGTTTTTTGAGACCCACGTCACTTTGACAATTAATTATTCCTATAAAATAACATAATTAATAATTGATATAATTAATTGAATAATGATTGTTCTTGTTAAAAATTACTTTTTTTATCTTAAAGCTGTTTTTTGAGTTGCCATTTATTAAAATTATGTTTTACAAACATTTTTGTTATTTAACTTCCGTAAACTTATTTGTTAAAATGACATACCTAGTTGTAAAAAAAAAGTAAAACCGCCAATGTGATGGAATTTAAAACGCAAAGAAGAGTAATTACAAATCCAAAAGCAAGAGGAAAATAAACTTTTCTTTCCACTGAGTCAGGATAATAAAGATTTAATTTCCTCGTTTTCGATGAAGCAAAAAATTTTTTCCTTCGCAGTTTTGGCGTAAAATCGAAGATATTTTTATTTTTCGTCTTGTAAACTCAATCAATCACACTGTTTAAAAAATTTTTGTTTGTGTACAGAAGTCTGAATTTTTACTTTTTTTTTTGCCCAAAACCAGAAATGTTAACCAACTTTTGGCCTGAAATTCGAAATTCCGTATTTTAAGTATTTTTTTTGTTTTGTTTCATAAAAAAACTGATTTAGAATTCGAGTATTTAAACAAAAAAGTAGAAGAAATGCCCGTTTTTAAATCAAAAATATTTAATTCTATATAAAGTAAATCTAATTTCCAATTTCAAAATTTACCTTATAAACGTCAAATCGACAACACAATTAAGAATTCTAAGAATTTTAACTTTTCAGCTTAGATTCGTGCTCAAAATCAAGAATTCTGATCTACTTTTAAGCAGTGAAACTTCGATTTTTATAATAAATCCCTCGTTTGTAAAAAGTTGCAAAAACCAAAAACCAACTAACTAACCTGAGGCGACCCATCTCGTATCACATAATTTCCCACCCTCGCATTTATCGTAGGACTCGCTTCTTGATCCGAAAAACTGAAAAGTAAAGGACTGACCATCCTTGCGATTTCATGTTCGTCGAATTGTCCTGCACTTTCATGCGACGTCCCAGCTTGACGAAAAACAAGAGGTAAACCAGTTTTATTTATTATCCAATACGGTGCCGATATTGCTATTTTAAGTTTAGCACCATTATTTGGCGAAACAACAACCGATAAAAATAATTTTCTTCCACGTTCATCTTCAAGATTAATCCGACACTTGAAGTCCATTGTGCCTAACGGAATTATGACTTTGTTTGTAGTTTTGAAATTCTCTAAAAGGACGTCCAGTTCAATTGTTTTATCGAGATCAACCTAAAATTATTTTTTTTTTTTTATTTAAAATAAATGAAAATTCGGTAATTGTTTGTTTTACATTAGTTATTGCAGCATTCGAACCGGCAGAGACCCGGCCCCTATCCCCCGACAAATTATAACTCATATCAATCGGAAGAAGATTACACAATTTGACAGCTGGAAGTAGAATTATCCGGTGGGCTGGTTGCCCTAAATGGATATTTCGCTCCGTTGAGTGTGCCTCTTTCACCACTTGGGCACAAAACCTGTACAGGTGACCTTTATGCGAATGACAAATGCGGGCTTCATAAACTGAATCGAGATAAGTAGGCATTTGAGACCATGATAAGGCGGGAGAACAGTAGGTGTAATTGTAGGAGAATCCGGTAGGGCGCGCTGTTATCAACGAATGTGCGTGCACCACCGGAACGGCCAATTTATCCCCACTTTCGATACTAAACACCTTACTAGCGGCCCACATWGTAACTAAAATTTTTAATCACAAAAAATTAAAACAAACAAATAATAACCAGTACCGGCAGAGTGAGGTAATTGACTTTCCAATTTAAGATCAATAGAATGAGGCAATTTATTGATGATAACAAGTGCCGATCGCACTGTAATTAATTTCCGAGCCGAGCCTTCGAGAGAAATATCGAAAACAATTCGAGCAGACGGAACTTCAGTTTGTAACTAAAATCAAATAATTATTTTCGAAAATATGCAAAAGAAAAGGTGAAATACCCTATTTTGGATCTGCGCATGTGTTATACGAAAGTAGATCCCGACTTTATCCACCGTGACCGGACTTAAAGGTTGCCACCCCTCAACCTTGACCCCCAATTGGTGCATTTTCATTTTATGTGAGTCGTGGTGTCGCATTTTTACCCGATTTTGAAACGAAAAGGGCACAGTCTCGCCCGGGGCCACCAAAACCCACGAATCATTCTTACTATAATCAGAGACGGCCTTAAATTTATTAATTTCGGTAATTAAAGTTGTGAAATGTAGCGGTGAGCCTGTATCGTTTTTAAGAGCAAAGGGAACAAAAGGCGACCGTTGACGATAACAAGTCATCGAGTTGTCTCTTTGGTCGTTTCCACTGTAGTAGTCTTTGGTCCAGTTCTCCTTCACTTGTTTGTAAAGCTCAACTAGAGTYGATGTTATGTTGATGTTGATRATTGAGGATGATTCGGCTTTTAGATTCAATCTGTTGCGTTTYAAGCCTTTAGTTAGGGATTTTTCCCACGAAATTTTGCATTTCCAGGATTCTATCACGGGTTCCCAACCGGATAGAACCCGATTGTAGTAGTCTCCAGCTAGGACACATTCGAGGGCACCCTGGGGGTAAATAGGGTCATTTATGTCAAACTCGGGCAACAATTGGTGTAAATTTAGCTGTGAGAAAGATAATTCAAGGAGTGGCACGTCGGAGTCGCCACAATCGTCGATGATACATATCGAAATACAATTCGCCTTGACCTTGAAAAATATTTGTTAAACCTTTAAATTAATAATAAGTAAGAGACGCACTTCAACTGCTTTTATGTTAAGTGGCGACTTATCATTTTCATTATTATTATGAAAACTAGCCGCATTTTGGATTAACCATAACGCAGCATCGTCCAAATTATTTTCACACGTTTCGAGCGCTTTCAAACAATCGTCAGTCTTGAAACCTAAAGTTGTAAGTCGTGCTATTTGATCTGAAAAAAATCTTTAACTCGCTTTGAAATTACAAGAATGTTATTCCACTTTTGACAAGAACATCCTGTGGCGAATCTTGCTCCTTATTGGCAAACATTTGCCTCGGAAGTGAGTTTAGCATCTGTAGAAACATACACATATCGTGATAAGACAGTCGAACTGTTAAAAACTGTAGTTGTGCTTCTAAAATATTGTCTTTATTTATGTCCATGTTAAGTGTGATTGGATCGATGATTGATAGAGCGGTATCATCCTCCATTCCCAGGATACATGAAAACATCTCGCAATTATTTAAGCTGCATGAAAGTGGTTTTTCGATGTTGTTTGGCTTGTAAGTGATCACAGTTGTGCTCTAAAAACTCAATAAAGTTTACAAAAATTAAAAATGATTTTATTACTTTCAAAATGACGGCGTTTGAATCCCACTGTGATGTATTTTCCAATACAACAATCTCAGAATCGGTGATGTTTAATTTAAGCTCGAATGGTATATTTTCGTCTGGTTTTTTACTAGTGACAACTTTCTGATGTTCGGGACTACTCGAAACGTTCTCAATTTCCTGAAATATGTATTTCTGAACAGCTTCCCACCAATCAAAAATCGCCATTAGTCTCATATTATTTAACAAAATTGTGTATTTGAAATGATCTTGTCGTTTGCGACTGTGAATCTCGGCCTGGACTAGATTTTCCTGTTTCGTGTCTTTGATTGGTTGCAAAATATTTTGAAACACGTTAGGCCGACTTTCGGTCGGTATATCATTAAATCGTGTATCCATTATTAATATTTCCTGAGATATCAAATCAATATCTTGGCTAAAGTTACTAAACGTTTCAATTGTTAGTCTCGATTTGATAAAATTAATACAAGTAAGAGGGGCTGTATTTGAAGTAGTTTGGAGACACAAAGTGACATTTTGTAAGTCCAGTTTTAGGGACGACAGTGTCCAAATGTCGCGTATATTTGACTAGAGAAAAAAAACAAACAAAATGATAACAATTCCACCAATCAGAATTCGGCTTACGTCAGCATTGACAGGGGGCGGGGTTACWGATGGCAGCACTCTCTCGGTGTCTTCACCCAAATTAAAAGCAAGCAAACCGCGAATTAAACGATACTGGGATAGGTCTAGTAAACCGTCGAGGGTTGACAATTGGCCATAGATGCTCATATCAGGCACTAAAAATAAGCTTAGGGTTTGCAACTTGGCTAACATCGACACAATACATACCGTTGTGACATATGTTACTCGTCAAATTMCGCTCAACTTGCAACTTGAATTGAAATTTTTYCTTTAAAAGTGAGGGCCCCTTTTTGGTCACTTGCCCATAGCCTAACTTAAAGGCCCCTTTACGGGCCGGATTAAACTCGTTTTCTTTGACACCCGCATACAAGTCCATGTTGTCTAACTCGATTATCATAACATCGAGTAGACATTTTTTTGCTATAAAATTTCTCCTCAATTTACAAAAAAATTAAAACAATGATTTACCGTAATTTGTCACCACACTAATAGTTCCCGAATCCCCCGACATTTTAAATGAATTCGTGACCAAAAGTTGCCCCAAATCAACAATTAATAAATCGGACGATTTCGAACTAACTGGTAAGAGAATCATAGGAGAACCAGCTTTAAGAACTAGTGATAATTTCAACGGRTCGTCTCGTATYGTTTGTCCACTSGTAGCCGCCCTGATACTTTTCATAACAGCTTGTAATTGCGTGAAATGATTGAAAAATGCTTGTATTTCGGCCACAAATCGTTTAGTGTGAACATACATCACTGATGACATCTCGATTGACAATTGAGCATCGTAATTTAAAGACTTGTTTTCCGAATCCCTAAAACATGGAAAAAATATTATATTCGACTCAATTRTCTAAATCAATACCTGATATAACTGAATTGTAGAGCTTGTTTCCCTGCTGTTATAAATCTCTCACGATACAGTTGGCCATGCAATGTCAAATCCAACAGCGAYATTGACCCCAAATTACCACGAACTTCTTTAAACAAACCACTTGTTTTTACAGAAATATCAACGTTCGATATGTTTGCTTTCGCGACTTCGATTTCAGGTCTCATAAGGACCAGAGTTAAAGATCTGACGGTAATATTAGTTTCAGTGTTCTCTTTTTTAACTAAAAATAGTTATTTCAGAAATTTAAATAAAAATAATATAGCTAAATACCACTTAAGGAATCGTCACTCGTAGGCGCACTAACCGACATTGCCGATGTATTTTGCAGAGAATTCGAAGGGGAAGCACTGAAAAAATCAATGACCACAACCCACGATTCCACACTTATGACCAAATCTAAACAGTTGAAATCTACAGAAGTCGATCTCTGKATCTGTAACAATGCGTATTTTTTTAATAGCAAAAATTTCAATTAATTGCTTGTTTTTTACCGATTTATAGGTTGTGCTGAAATTGGGTGCTGAGGGGTCCACTAGTAGCGTACTAATCAACACTAAATTCCTCTCGGGTCTAATCCTCCCTTGTGACGGCGACGGGGGCGGYGTACTCGGACACACAACATCGACTTTTTCCTGTATTTTGACAGGTCGCATACCGAAAACTCTCGCCGTCTCCAGATGATCAGGAAGTGACCCATGCGAGGGGCTATTAAAATGGGGCAAATACGAAACATCGGGACACGATCTAGACACACAAGCCGAGTTTTGGGGAACGTCATTCCCGGAAGATGAGATGACCATAGCYCTCTGTTTCGTATTCTCCGGTTGGAGCAAATCTTCCATGAAAATCGAACGGAGAGACACTTGAATGTTGGTTTCGTACAAGTGACATTTTTCGTAATTAAAGATAAAGTCGCGGAATGAGAGATCAACAAGGCCTTGTTCGCCAGTCGGGGAGTCCCCACGTAATTCAATCGTGAACACTGGTAACTCGAATAAGACTCTCAACGAAACGTTATTGTGTGAGACGGGCTTTAGACGGGTTGTTTGTACAGTGGGGAATAGTTTCGCACGGACGTGGGGGTCCATATTCAAAGTTGTCACCCCTGTGTCTTCTTCACTGATGTCGGAGAGCATATTCACCGGTTTGATGTTCGTACGAGAGACACCCTGGACATCCACCATGACCGGTGGTGAAGACAGCCATTGCAAAGTGTCTAAAAGTTGCTCGTATTGTGTCCGAGTCAGGGACACTTTCAAATCATTCACAACACTGCCTTTGATCTAAAATTAATAAGTTTATTATYATTCAAAATCAAATTAAATTAAATTACATAAATGTTTTCGGTAAATGGATGACTGGTGTTTTCGTCGTCGTCAAATAAAAGATTCGATTCACTGCTGTGTGTCGTTTGCAAGGTTTTGTTGATTTCACGTTCGATTTTTAATTGTAAAATTGTGTCGTGTATGATGGGTTTGGCAGAGGATTTACAACTGTACAAGACTTCGGGTTTGCTTATCCTTAAAATGGTAATTTTAGATAAAAACCAGTCTAAATTTTTTAAATGCAGTTGGCCATTGTAACATAAATATAGGGTGTAACTAACTAAAAGATGGGGACAAGAGTAACCTGAAATTCCCCAATTTTATCTCTATACCAAGTTAAAGGACGCCAATGAAATTATAATTTTTTTTGTTTAAATTAATAATAATCATTCTGTTGTTGTTAACTAACACAAACATCACAAAGAAGCTAGAACCTAGTTTTTTCTTAAATACAATTTTAAAAACAATAATAAATGGCCAACATCCAAAATTTTGACACGTCTACAGAGTGCTTTTATCAACTAATTTCAGTAGATAAAGTAGTCTTTTATCGTCTAATGAAATAAAGTAATTTTTATTTTCTGTTTATATTCAAGAGATTCTGCTAGGTGAGTACAAAATAAAACGAAATATTATACACGACGATAAAGATTGTTTATCTACTCGGAAAAAAGTCCACTCGTGAACTTAATCTTTGCACTCGTAGATAAACAACTTCTTTATCGTCTTGTATAATAAATAACTATTTTTCCTCTAAAACTAAAGCCGATATAAAAATTATAAAATACAAAAATTGTTTAAAAACAATGTACAGTTACGGAATTAAAATTTCGGGAAGACATATTGTTTTAGAGTTTACATTATGAAAATGACAATACTACCCGAAATTTTAATTTTTATTTAAATTTTAGGCAGTATTTTTTTGTAACTTCAAAAAGTTCACTGTAAACTACCTTTTACTGTCATCATGACTGACATTTGACAATTAACATATTTTTTTTGCTGTTAAAATCATTATTTAAACAATTTCTCTGTCTTAGGAAATTTATTAATTGAACAACTGTAATTAAATCATCGCTTTGATCTGCTGCCTAACATGCCACAAATCAGTATTTTTGAAAGTAAATAAGACAAAATGACATAAACATGACAAGAGTAAAACATGAGGTTATTAATGTAAAGGTTGTTTTAGAGTTTACAATATGAAAATGACAATACTGTACCTTTCGGATAAAAAAAAGAATTACGCCACTCGGATTATGCATAACAAAAATATAGCTTAAAATGTGTTAAGCTGTTAGTAGGTAAGTATTTTACTATAATAATAAAACAAAAGAAATAGTACCAAATTTCACAAAAAAAAATTTAAAAAATAAATAATTTTTAAACTTTGGCGTCCTCCAACTTTCAAACGGTACAACTTGGTATAGAAGTTGATTTAAATTGCTTTATTTTGACCTGGGGAATCATAGGTTACTCTTTGCCGCCATCTTTTCGTTACACTCTGTATACGAGGAGACATTAAAATTGCAATGTCAAGCAACCGACAAGCTAAAACAATTTTTAATTTTTTTGTTACACCGGGTATAGTTACAGATTTATTTAAATAAAAATAATTTTGCGTTTTTATTAGCATAACAACAATCAGGGCCAACTAGAATTTTTCCTTTTTGATGATGCAAAGACTTACATTGGTCCTGGCACTCTACGATTGCTCGTATCGACTGAAAACAAATTCATATCGCGTATCTCCACACTGTAATGCTCAATTCTAAACTCGGTGTATTGATAATCGTGACCGTTGGGCTCAAAATCACTCTCATATTTATTACTGACGCTAATTTTACCCAAATGTGCGACAAAAACCTTCGGACTGTTACTCGCTTGTGGAAGAACAACAACAGGACTGTCTAACTCAACATCCAACCTGAAAACACTCAATAAATACCTCAAACACTCGCAGTACTCAAATTTGCCTCAAATCTATTATAAAATTATCATCGTCATCGGGACTGTAAGGCGTTTGAGGAACTGTATCTCTAGCTGAGGAAAAYCCAGASGGATCCATCGAACTACTCCGCCTTCTTTTCCGCGGTGAAGAACACTCGGAAAATGATAAAGCGCTTCCGTAGATCGATGATGATAAACGCGCGTTCATGTACAAAGACTGGGCTAAAGCTTCAGCTCTGAAACAATAATGAAAATAAATTTCAGGTTTTGGAAGTAGAAATGGTACAAACCTGGCATGCACAAGCCCCAAGGCCATGTCTGTGGCCGCAGTGCGGATCGAGCGTGCCAAATTGGACAAGTATTGTTTGAATTCGGAAGCACACGATTGCAGCTCCATCACAAACTGTGGTGAGTGTGTGTACCACAACGAGGCCATCCGAACGGTCACATTGGCCACGTCTTTGTCGTCCGTTTGCAAACTTCGCACCACTTTAAAACTGAAAGCCGTGCGATTGTCCTCGTGTGGTACCGACATTGTGTACAAAGGGTGCATGGTCTCCATGAGAGGGTCTCGACCCACGCTGATGATACGTTGGTGCATTTGGCCTTCGGGGGTCAAGTCAAGGACTTGCAAGCCGCCTAAGGAACCCTCAACCTCCACTTTATGATCTGAAGAATTAAAATTTAAACAATTGTTTTGTTGTTGTGAAAGACGAAATTATTACCTACAGTTGCTTGAATTTTCGCGTCACTCATAGTTGCCGTACAGATTTTTTTACCACAAAGAATTCCGTCTCTGACGACTCCTCGAAGGAGTAGGACGTTTAAGCGATGGAAGTCGAATGTGAGTTCAGTTGAACCAAATTTTGACGACTCTTCGAGGAGTGATTCCGACGATGCTGTTGTTTCGCGGACTTTTGATGAAACCGTTGACAGCAAATTGATGTTGCTTGCTTTTTGTGATTTTGGGAACACTCTTTGCGTAAAACCGATTAGTTCAACCAGAGTTTCCTGATTTGCTAAAATCACAAAACGTTAGTATATTTTATGTTGTAGAAAAAGAGTGGTCAAAAAATAAAGATTCCATGACGCGATCTATGATTAACTTAATAATTTCAAATCAAACTCAAGAGTTAAAATTTATACACAATTCCTATCTTTAAATGCTAAAATTAAAGTTAAAAAAAAAAGAATTTTGTAAAATGTGTCCTTGAAAACATGTTTTTTTATTATTTTTGACATTTCGTTTTTTCCATGGCTCTTGTACTCGTGAAATAAACTGAAATTTTTATTACACAAAAAATGTATTTTTAAAATTAATTTGCTTCATGAAACCTCCTTTTGGGCCCCACTCAGGAGTAGTTTTAATACCTATAATATCAAGATTATTAAACTGTATATTCGCAATTTGCACCGGCTCCGCCCCCGTCACAATCAAAACCTCGATTGAAATCAAAGCTTCGGCATCGAAAATCACCGGAGGCCTCGGTGGGCCCCCGTAATTATTTGGCGGCGACGTTGCCAGACTACTCAATGCTTGCTTTAACGCGATTGGTGAAGTAGCCCCTGTGCGCCCCAAAGTGGGATCTGGACTAGCCGGACTTGTGGGCGAGGTAGGCTCACTATCCCTTAAACTCCCCGACATCGAGTCCATACTAAAATAACAATTACAACCCTCTCCAAGCCCTTAAAACTGGCCTTACCCCACATGCTTGTGACTCGCAATCAGTAACTCGAAATCCGGCCCAAAAGTCTGCAAAGCATCAACTAACAACAAACTATGGACAGTTAAAGTGACACTAATATCGTGGGGGCGCTTCGTGAAGGCTACTTTGACTCCTGCGACTTGTAGTTCGGCGACACAACGCCCCCGACTTTGGACTTCTAATGATAAATGGTCGACGGTGAATTGAACCATTAGTAATCGTGACATTTCTAGGCTTGTATCGAAACTTGCAGATTCGTCCTCGTCTTGGCCAGTATCTGTGATAATTTCGACCGGATTTTCCGGGCTTTTGAACGGCGAAGGAAGACCAGTAACTGTGATAATATGAAATAAAGTCCTCGCTGCTGTGATTTTACTCTCGTTCAAATGTGCGACTAGTTTCGGAAGGTTGGTATTAATGATAAGACTCGGATAATGAGGATCGGAAGTATGAATCACTCGTTTTTCGATTTGGAGCGAAATATTAAACCTGTCTAGAACATGAAGTGTGGAGGAGCCCTTATTGTGGGCATATCGCCAGTTATCTTTGACTTTCCCGATCAAAATTTGTAGATCGGTTAACTCGACACAATACGTGTCGTATAATCGATGATAGAGCAATTTTTCCGTAAAAGATCCTTTCATATCGGACTCCAAATTCGGTAAAAGTTCCAAAGTGTGTTCCTCCGAGTCACTCGCTTCGCTCGCTGGTGGTGTCGAACAAGGTGTAACAAATTTCTCCTCGTCTTCACTCTCCTTGGTCATGAATTCAGGTCGGGTGATTTCGGGTAGAGTCGGATGATTACTCAATTGAAGTCGTCCAAAATCGATCACAGCCATTGCGGAATTATTATCAGTGAACTGTTCCACGAAAATGATTTGAGGAGCAGATATGTCTAGTTCTAGTTCCCACGTAGTTCTCGCAACCTAGAATAATACACTTTAGTATTTTGACTAACAAAAAGGCGTTTTTTACGTCGCGTCCATCTAAGATTTGTTCCCAGTTTTTGATTAATTCTTTCTTTGTTCGTGTTTTCATCGCTTCAATGCGTGAATGTGTAATGTCGCGTTGGTGGGGCAAACAGAGGAATTCGGTGAGCCAGCGAACGGCGTTGGGTTGGTAGACAACATCCAGGCATTTCGAACGTATGCACAACCTTAAAAAATCAGGTTTAGATTCTACAAAACAACAATTTTAATTCCAAATAGAATACAAATTCAAAATCCGAAAAAAAATCCATGTTCAAAATTAAAAACTAAAATTCTAAATTTATGGGTATCTTTTAAGCAACTTTAAAATTGCAAGTCCCATAGTGAAGTTCAAAATTCAACAATAAAATTTAAAATTTTGGTTAACCACAGTTTTTAAATAAAAATTCCAAGTTGACAAATCAGAGTCTGGTTAAAACATTAAATTCCAATTAAAATTTCAAGTTTTAAAAACAAATGATCGACTTTGAACGTAAAAATTTCAAACTTCTGTATTAAAATTATATTAGTTTAAATATAAAAATAAACTAATTTATTTCTAAGCTTCTAAAGTTGAAAATCTAAATCCTGTTTTAACATAAGTTGTAAATTTGAAAAAAATGATTCGATGAATCCAAAAAACAGTTAAAATTTCTGCTTTCGATGACAAATTTCCCGATTTGAACAAAACTTCAAGTTTATAACTAAATTATTATGATGATAAAAAAATGTTTAAAAAAAAATAAATTCAGTGCCCCAAAAATAAAATTTGAAAGTTTCTATGTGAAAATTTCAGACCTACGAAATATTAATACCAAGTTCCTTAATTAAAAATTATAAACATACATCTTCAAATAATAACTCGACGTACAATTGCGAACACAGAATTTTGGACATCGAAATGTCAGTTCCAAAAATGTCAATGTAAGCCATGCTTCATTGTCACTATGATGGTGGAACTAAAATTTGAAAGTTTTAGTTCAAATTTATTTAAGGCAATTTTCCGAAACAATAATGCTGCAGTACGTATTTTTATATGTATAAGTTTAATAAATTATTTTGATTTGTTGTCATTTTTTCTCAGTTGTTAGGATACATTTTTATGTCAGTTGAATGACAAATCGTCCACAATGGTATTACTTTTGGGTAAAAAAAGAATAATAAATTTGCAAATCTGCAAGTGGGAATTCCGTATTTGAAGATCAATAAAAATCTATCAAAATTTTAGAAGTAACACCAAATTAAAAAAAAAATCACAATAAAAATTTACAGAATAGAAATTTAGAAAAGATTCTATAAAGCAAAAGCCAAATTTTTAAATGTTACACAAAACATGTACAAAAATCAGACACAAAATTCTGGATTTTAATATTTAAGTTAAAATTCAAGCTAATTCGAGACCTTTTTTGAGTAAAAATTTCAAGTCAGATCAATCAAAAATCCAAGTTCAAGTTAAGAAAATACCATTGCAAATGAATCTGCTTTTATTACAAAGTTCTGAACGTTACTTTAAAATTTTAGTTTCAAAGAAAGAAAGCTTTAAAAACAATCAAAATTTGTTAGTAAAAAAAAGTTTTTTGTTAAATCCTGAAATAATAGACTTAATAGACAGTTTTTGAATAAGAAACAGCGCCATCCATGGGTTGTGATTTAGCAAAAAAMCACTTTCAGTTTTAACAACCACTAACCTATAATCACAGCCTGTATTTTGAGGTTTCTTCTCATACGCCAAATAAAACAAATGCTCATTGGCTTCCTCCAATCGACTCGCGACGCTCGCCCTCGGACTCGGCCCTTGCGATCTTCCAAAATTCATTCTTTCATAACCCGGTGGTCCCATCAAAATCGGAAACATAGTATTTAGTGTAATTTTATCTTTTAAATAAAGCGCTCCTAGTGACAATTCGATGAGATGTGAAGCAGTCCTAGGCTTACTCAAAATGTTCAATGACAAGTTTTTAAACTCCAATTCGAGCATTGGGGAACTAAAACAAACAATAAAAAGGTGCTAAAATTAGTTCTAAATAATTTTTACCTCTCGTTTGTATCTTCTTGTGACGCACATAATGTTAAACATCCCCGTTTCAAACAAAAATTAAAATGCCCGAAAACCGCATCCCTCTTCAAAATTGTATTATTCTCAGCGGAATCACTCAAAACTTGCAAGATCTCGCCCTCTAACTGCGTTGTCTCACTACTCTCTGTCTCAGTCGCCGGTGACRAATACCACCCCATCCATTGAGGAAACCACCTCACCAACATACTCCTCCCTGCCGAATTCCCATTTGTCGAATTCCGATCAGGGATCGGCACTGACCTCATCGCAATCTCCCTCAAAACCTTCAACTCGTCAAAATCCCGGTCCCACTCGACCTCATCCTTCAACTTCTTCTCATCGGGAGTTAAAACCAAATTAGGAGTTGCCAAAATCTTCATGTATAAATTCACATATTTCACGTTTTGTTTCGCTCGGAGCAAACACGACTCGATGGTGGGTTTGGGGCGACAAATGGCCGGTTGTTTGCCGGGGTGGAGACAACTGATGGCGTAGAACCACCACGCTCGAGGGTCTTCCTTAACGGTGCATGAGGGTTTGTATCGGCGGTAACTACGTAGGCGGTCGATGGTGTCCAAGCCTTTGATGCATTTGACGATTTGGTCGTATTGCCACTGGAATTTTTGCAATAAAACTATTTGAAATTAAAGAACAAATTTATTACGTCGATGAGGGTTAAGGGGACTTCGTCCAAAATTAAATCACAGACTAGTCGTGGCGTGTCGCTGGATCGAAGGGGCTGCTCGCTTCGGTTGCGCTTGACGTGGGCTATGGCGCTCACGGGGGCGAGAATGAAGTGGCGAGTTTGTTTGCTTGTTTGAGTTGGCGACATTGAAATCTGAAGAATTCACAAAAATTGTAACGTTTTATGCTTTTGACAATTTTTAGTTGACTAGTAAACAGCGGGTTTGCAAACTTTTTAATTTTCCTGGTAAATATCTAGTATTAAAAATCAAAATTCTCATACTGATACTCGTATTACCGTTTTTTCAAAAAAAGAAAAACAAACACAAAACGAAAAGGCTTTCTAACATCGATCAACAAAAATTAGGAGTTTGAGTTCTGCATGTTTAATTTTACACTACAACATAAAATTAAAGAAACAAAAAAAATCCTAAATTTTTTAGTAGTTTGATTAATGTTTTTAGGTGTTTTTATAGCTTACCTAAAAAAAAATTTTTTCAAAAATTAGTACCATTTCCTAATTTTTTTTTCAAATTTAAAAAATACCAAAAATATTTGTTTGATTTTATTTCAAAAACTATTCAGTGTTGTTTCTTGAATTTTTTTACAATAATCAAAAAAAAGTTTTTGACTTTATTTTTTCAAATTTAACAAGTAACTAATGCAAAATTGTAGAGAAAGTTTAAAAAAAATGTTTTTTTCATTTTGATGAAGATTACAAAATGTTCAGAAACAATATGTATGTACAATTGTTTCTTTACTTCTTTTGTAAACCTTTGATCAATCTGTCTGAGAAAACGGTTCGACAGATCGAATTAAAAAACGGCTATAAAAACACCTAAAAACATTAGTCTCCCCATCAATGTTCGTGAATAGCTGCGGTATATTTACTAAAACAAAGCAAAAAGTTACTTTTTTTCTTTCCTTTAACTCAATGCTGAAAATAAAAAAAATGTTTTTCAAAAAATCGTAAAAGGATCTTGTAAGACATTTATTGCAATTTTTGAAATTACCCTTACTTCTCTGTGTGGACATTGGTCGCAAAGATATCAATGATCAAAGACAAAAAAATCCTTTTACACTTAAAGTCAGATATCTCAGCGACAAATCGACGTAAAGAGAATATAAAAAAGCATTTTAAAGCTGAATTAAAAAATTATCCGGCCCATACATTAATTTAACTAAAAAAATTCCCGATGGATCAAAAAACAAAAACAAAAAAAAATACATTTTTTTCTTCCGTTATTTCTCAGGATTGCATGATAACGGTACCGTACCCCACAGAAAATTTTTTCGCCAAAAGTTTTTTTATCTAGATACCACCATTTTTTCAAAAATAACCAAAAGATTTACGCCTTTTTTTGTTCCTTTCATTTTTTGGAGTAGTGTATTACTATTTGCTTTTTTTTACTTTGACCACTGCTTTATCTTTTTTGACATTTACTACTTTTCCATTTTGCCTTTTTATTACTTTCTGTTTTGTAGTTTTATAAGTATAAAATGATGTATTTTAATAGAATTTCCCTATTTTCTTATTGAGTGGAAAATAAAACAAACATTTGTTATAACATTGGATCACTTATTAATAAAACACACAAACCACCATGTTTTCATGTTTTTTCTTAACAAAAAAGACAGTAAAACAACTCAAAAAAAGCCAAAAATGGTCACTCTCAGAACTGTAAGCGCGACTTCCCCAAAATCCCTCAAATAAAAACTAGAACCGGTGTCAAATACGCATTCAACAACTAAAAAAAAAACATAAAGTACACCCTCTTTTGTCTAAAAGGGAGAAAAAAAGTCAATCTGTTGAATAGTAAATGATATTAATTCTTATTAAAAGTTTATGAAAAATACAACAAAACCTAAAATTCTTTTCCTCTTTTGATTATTTGTTCTTAATACGTATCACTTCTATCAATGAATTCATTAAAAAACATTTTTTTTGGGTAAAAACTTACGGCGAGGTCCCCTAAGCCAAGCCTGGACAGCAACTGACTTGGCTCTAAATCAATCCAATAAATTGCAAATTTTTGCATTTCGAGAATTTTAAAAGATTCCGCTCCCATCGCCCAATGTGAGAATCCTGGTGCCCAGTTAGCATCACAGCTTTGGGCCGAAAGCGACTCCATTGTGACCCCAAAAGCCAGTGATTTATTTGGTATACTGATACTATCCTCATATCTGATGTGAACATCTTGTATTTTTAGCTAAAATTGTTTGTTTAAATGTTATCACAGAAAAAAAAAATTGAAACCTGGAGATTTTCAATTATATCTGACACTAAACCAGCCCCAAAACCGAGCCAAGATGAGTAACTAGAAGCGTAATAAGAAGAGGAATCTCGAGATTCGGTTTCTAGTCTCCATCTGGCTTCAATAATGTCCAAAGCACTCAATTTTATTTCTTGTGCTGCCAATTCTTCGGACTCTGCGTCCCACTAGAGCACAAATTGTGTTTTAAATAAATCACAAAGTCATGATATGTTACCTCATCCACTGGCAGAGGGCTAGCAACTAGGTACAGTTGCTCAATGGCAATAACCCAAGGTGCTGATCTTATTTGTCTAACAGGTATTTGTAATTTGACTTTTCCAATAAACCCAGCTTTGATTTCGATCGGTAGTCCCAAGTGTCGCAATGCATCCTTTTTTAGTGGCAAATTCTCAAGCTCAACCTTACCTAGAACCTCCTGAAATCACCCAAAATCCTCGCAAAAATCCCCAATTACCAGACAACAAAGCAATGCTCAACTGATCAGTGTTCAAATTCTCCACGTACTTCCCTAGGTAATTATTCAACACCCATGCTGCAAGTCCTTCCAACATTTTTGGGAGGCGTTCAAAGATCGAACCGAATTAAAACACATAACAGTACTTTAACCTATGACAAACCGTTATTTTATTGCAATCAATAGTGTAACGTCTAGTCGAGATTTATAATCATCAGTGATACTTCTAATCCCAACACTCAAATTCGCTCAAATCACGCACAAAAAAATTATTTACACAGAAACCCCTCACGTGAATTTGTTACATAAAATTTCATTTCGAAAAAATGGCGCTAATTTATTGAAATTGAATGCGAATTGATTAAAAGTTAGTACCTTGATAACGGCTGAGTAATTCTGTAGGCTTTTAATCGCTTTTGATAATATTTTTACGTATTTTCAAAATAGAATTTTGACAATTGGAGCTTTGACAGGAGTGATCTTGACAGACGTCCCAATGACAGACAACAGCGGCGGCGCGGTACAACACAACACAAATAAAATAAAAAACAATTTTGTTATAATTCTGTTTTTTTAGTTAATAATAAAAACAAGTGTTTTAAGAATAGTTTTATTTTTTTAAGTTGTATAATTTCTTACATATCAATTATTTTTAGGCAAAAATTAAAAAAAAAATTGTCGGGCTTAAAAATTTATTTACATTTTATAAAAAATACATTTTAACTAAATAAACAATTTACTAATTTTAAATTTTACAAAAACTAAATTAATATTTAATTATTTATTTTGTTTGTCACAAATAATTTAAGGGTTTTGTCTTGTTTCTTGATTCTAAAACACCAATCATAAAAATAAAAACTAATTATTTTGACTAATATGTTTAAATTGCAGTAAAAAACGTGAATTTATGATTGCATTTTGTAATTTTGCGTTTGATCATATGTCATGTGACCGCCTCCGCCGCTGCTTTTCGCACCAGTGCTGCCATAAATGCGCAGTGTCAAAATATGAAACCCATTAATAATTTGGTCTCGCCCATTTTAGGTTGACGTGAATGTCAAGTTTTTTTTATAAATTAGTGTAAAAATTCTATTTTTCGAGTAATTCTTAAATGAACAATGCATTTTTGTCATTAGCGACTAGTGTGCGGTGTTAATTAGGTGCTGTTGTGCGGTCCTTCATTGAAAATGGGTGAGTTGGAGCCGGTGTTTGGTTATATATTATTCCTAATTATTTGCATAATATTCTGCTTGTCCTTTGGACATGTTTATTGTAAATCATTATGTCATTCCATTATCTCCGTCATTTAACGATGTTGTTATCTTGCTGTTAAACACCCTGCAATGTCCCCCCGCGAGCGTTAATTTTAGACATTGATTTTGATCTCGACTAAATTTTATTGATAACGTCTCGATTATTCGTCTTTTTTGAGCAAAACCCGTCTTGAAGATCGATAAATTTGTTACTAAGGCGACCCTCAATTTGCACTTGGGGTAGGCCCTCGCCCGCCATTTCATATTTTATGATCGGAGGAACGATTGTCGCGTTAATTGCGTTTTTATTACAGGAGAAACCTTGACCCTCCTGATTATACAAAAACACCTTCGTTGTGATAATCGGGATGACCTAATGGCCATTCAAAATGCGGATATTTTCTGTTATATAAAGCCTATTCAAGAGAAAATTCTGCTTCAAAGGAGGCTAATTCAAACATGAATATTAAAAGAGTTGCTTGAGGGAAAAAGGACGATGTTTTACGGCGATTTTGTTGGGAAACGGAGATGCGGAACGTTAATTAACCTGTCTCGACTTTTTTGTGCTTAAAAGCCCTCACGTAAAAAAATCAAGTAGACTGGAAGTTGTGTTTATTTTGACAGTAACGTCACTTTTTCCAAGCCAACTAGACTTTGTCAATTCACTTGATGTTGATTATGATAAGTCAGAATGATAATATCTGCATTGAATCATTTGGAAATTTAAATTGCGGTGGACTGACTGATAAGTTTGAGATTTAAGATTTTTTGGCATGATTGCAACATTCATATCAATTAAATGTCGTAGTTTACTCTAATTATAAATTTTGCTGACCCTAAATGTATATCTTGCTATAAAATTGTTACAGTGACTCAGACAAGTGTTATCATAGTTGATTTTATTTATTATTATTCAAAGATGGTTCCATTTCTCAAGTAAACTTGACTAGTTACCTTTGATAAGGTGTACTATTTGTTATAGATAAGGCGCCTTATCTTATTTGCTTTATTGTTTTAAATATTTGTTCCACACTATTTGTGTTTTAGATTTTACTTTTTTGTTTCTTCTTTGTTTGCACTAATTTATTCAAGATTTTTGATGATTTTTTTTGTTGTAAAAGTCGCCATTAGCGAACTAATGTAATTAGTTAAAATTGTTGTGATTTACTTTATTTATTACTTATTTTCTGTAGCTAACAGAGAAAATAAAACTAATCACATTTTCAACGAAGCGCATCTAAACTAAAGTTTATTACTTCAAGATTGGACTTAATAATTATTGTAAATTTTAAGATCATACAAAAAACCTAGTAGTCTAAATTGATAACTTTTGCGTAAAAAAATTGTCAAAATAAAAGATTCCGGCCAAGCCAGACTGCTACAAATTATTTCGTTCAAAATCATTTATGACCATAGCTATTAATAGCAAAGTTAAAAAAATAAAAAAAAACTGTCCAGAAAATTGAAATTGATCGATGTTGAGGCCTATATTTTTATCAAAAATTACGTTGTTTCTGTATTTTATTAGTTTTCTGTATTCGGGGTTAAATTAATTAGATTTTGTATATTTTTTTTTGAATAATAAATTCTGTGAATACTTGCTATTAAAATGTCTTTCTGCATAAGGCATATTTCAAGAATTTGTAACGTTTGAAACAGGTTGCAAGATGTTATGTCTGCTTCAAGAAAGAACATTTGTTCTGCACGTTTCAGTGGTTGTAAATACGTATTTACTAATAAAACATTTTTCCAATGGAAAATCTACTTAGTCAGGACAAGAAATTCATTTGGAACCAATTATCTGTGTTTAAACGTATAAAATTTTAATTTTAATAATAAAATGTCAAATTAGAATTCTGCAATACTCATGTTTGGAATACATTTTGTTTTCCTTTCCCCCGATAAAATCGTTTGGAAGTGGGCCAAATCTTCGACGAAATGATCATTTTTCGGCTATTCCTATTAATTTATTTTTTGATAATGATCGGTGCAACAAGCAAAAGTTATGTGGGCTAACACAACTGGTTTGGTGGCGATAGTAGGTGGCCTCTTTCTGTTACGTAAACCGCGTAGGTTGCAGCATTTCTATTGCTGTTTCTTTATCATAACTGTAACAAAACCTGCTGAGGACGACAAGTCGTCTACCTGTCGTCGTGAATCACCCGCTTTTCACTTTCATGTGGAAGATGCTCGCCTCTGATGGATTGTTAATCACTTTCTACTTCAGTTGTCGTTTCCTGGTTGAAGGACCGCCTGTCGTGTTACTCGAGTTCGAAAATCAATTTTTCCACTTTCGTACAGTTTTTTATCAAATTTAATTTTTCGCTCCGACGAACGCGATGCTCATCGTTCATTATTATTTTTTTACTTAATAAGATGATAACCGCAATATCGTCGAGGTCTTCCCACATTTTCAATGCGTTTTGTTGTCCAAACAAAAATAGAAATGACTCGGAAAGTTACGTCATTGATGGTAAATATTTGCATTTGCGATAGGTGCTCGCGAATATGTTGTTTTCGAAATCGTTTTTGGGTAACCGCTAATTGGGTTTTGTGGACTTTTCGGTTTGGTTCAGAGGCAATAAAAATAATTAGAGTTGGGTATTTAACACTGGCGGACTTTTTGATCGAATTTACATATTTGTGACGAGGAGTCAAGGTTGAAAACTCCAAGGTTTCGTCGAGACGTAATTTGTTAAAAAGTAACTGGAAGTTTTATTGTTGGATGTGTTATGTAACGTTGAGAAGTTGCAAAATTGAGAATGTGTTTAATTTTTTCCCGGAGATGATTTATTTGCATATTAAATTTGTCTCATAGTTTCATCCGAGATTACAAAAGTCTTACATCACTTTAAAATACCTTTTTTGCTTAAGTAACTGTGTTTAAAATATCAGACATGTTCTTACTCCTGTAATCGAATTTTTAATTTCTCGTCTGCAAAAAATAAATTGGAATTGATTTCAATCGAAATTCTTCCCTAATGCTTATAAAGGGAGAAAATCCTTTACATCCTGGCTGGATTTACAAAAAAAGTTAAAATTGTGTAAAATCGATATTAAAACTGCTTTTTGGTCTTTGGGGAAAGGGGGGTTTTTAAAAAAATAATGTAATAATAGTAATCTTAAAAGAAAACTTTCACTATTTTGAAAATAATTTTGTTTTTTAATTTTGTTAATGTATTGTTTGAAGATAAATTGTGTTTTTTTAGTGAAAATTGTTGAAAAACAATTAGTTAAATCTCATTTCCGTTCCATCTGGAACCTACCGGAAATTTATGAGTTTATATTTTTTCTAGAATTATTTTCAGACGGAAAACAGTGGAAATGTTCCCACATCCTAAGACTAAGCAAAATAAATAAACAACAGAAAATTTTGGATCGATTAAATTTGCGGACAAATATTTTTGAAAAGCCGCCTAGACTTTGCGCTGTGCATCAATTTTAGATTTTTTTATTTTGCAGAAAATAAAATAGGAAATTTCTGTAACTCGAATAATTTGGGTTTCTGTATTAAAGGTTTCTATTTAGTCAAATTTCTGTTTTTGGTGTGATTTTAGATAAATTATTTTAATTATACGTTTTCACTTTTTTTCCTGCTTTACGTGCTTTCATCGGAAGTAGAGCACAATTTTCCTTTTTTGTTAATCTAATAACGCTTTATTGACATTTCTGGCGAAAGTAAACGCTCAAATAAGTGTCATCATTGTTTAAATTCCTCGCTGAGTTATAACCCTCACGTATGCAGACAATTTCATAAAATCGTTTGTTGATAGATTTGTGTGAATGAACTGGAACTGAAGACTATATTTAGACAAAATCTGCTATTCCGAAAACAAACTTTGATATATTGATAACAAAATCCTCAAATTCATTGAACTTTCAGCCAAGCAAAACGCCGCCCCGTTCCAATTTCCTCCAAAACGCGACAGTTTTATGTATTCGAAAATAGCCCAACCTTCCAGAGATCAATTCCATATTTTTATCCAATACACAGGCAGCCAAGACATTGGCCGCACTTTTCTCAAAAGGTAAAACTAAAATTACCATCGTGCGTGCAATGAACGGTCAAACATTTGACAATTTAAATTGCTGCACTCACGTCTCTCCACTCCCGTTCGACTCGTTAGTCATCATCATCGGGGCTTCAGTCGGTGCTTTTGCTTTCAGTAGAGAGCTTCCTGCTGATCGGAGTGCTCGAGAAATTGTTACATGTGTAATTAGTGTTTAAAAATATGAAAAGCAAAAATAAAAATGACGGCAAAATCGGCAGTGAGCAGCTGATCTTGGCCGAAAAGCCTCCCCTTGATAAGAAAAAATTAGCCGCTCTGGAGAAAGAGCGGCTCAAAGCCGAAAAGAAATTGAAAAAAGGTGAGTTTCAAGGTCTGGAATAATATCACGGTGACGTATTGCAACCTTGGAATGTCCAAATAATTCCATTTATTTTTGTGTACTGAAATATTTATTTGTGTCAAAGTTATAATTACGCTTTGAGTCAGTTTCGCGTGCGTAGTAACAAAATTGATAAATAAAATAAAAATTATCGAATTTAATTGTGAGAAGCGTTTAATTGAATTATGCTAATTGACCCTTCTGCTCTTAAAAGAGGTTAAAGAAGTTGACACGTAATACGGGTGAATACGTTAGCTTTGTCGAGGAATGCTTTTTAAAATTTCTTTTTGTGGACGGTCACGGAATGGGAAAAAGTAGACCAGTTCTACAAGAGTTTAGTGACTGGACAAAAATGGAATTAAAAGGGAGAACCTTCTAGAAATTTTCTCTGGAATTAAATTTTGAAAAGCTGCACCATTGTAAACTTTTAGTATATTTAGAAATACATCTATTTTATGCCTTAGTCGTAAAATGTTTATAATCTGCTTGCAGCATCATGGATTTTCGAATTTTCTACAACTAATTTGAAGATTACAGAGTAATTGATTTTTATTGAAATTTGAGCGACATTTTGAGAAATTTGAATTAATCTGCAGATTAATTCACAATTGAAATTGCTGTTTCACTTAAACCAGACTATTTTTTCGCAGCCAAAATTGCTCAGATAATAAACTCGTTAACCCAAATTCCACCTACAAATTAATCAAAATGTGTTTAATTCAACTTGTTCCAATTAATCTATTTTTGGTAATTTAATCCTCTCGAAATTTGAATTAAAATCCTAAATTTGTAAATATTGATCTCTTCCGAGTTGCTTTTACTTAATCTAATTAATAATTTATAAGTTTTTTAAACGTTGAGTCAGTTTCCATTAATGGAAACCACTGAAAAGAAGTTGATATGAATTTTAGATTTGATTGCATCGAAACGGCGCTTTACTGACATATTTTTCCTACAATTAAATAATTTGCGTAATAATGAAGTTTTTACATCAAACTTCAATTATTTTTTGTAATTAGTCGATAGCTGCGTAATTTATAATTACAGCAAAGGCTTGTTTTTTTAATAATTCAACAATTGCCGGGTTTAGGTTAAGGCCAGATGAATTGTCGAATGTTTAAAGCATGACAGAACTATTCACCCATGAAATATCGGTGTGTGTAGGTTTTTTCTTACAAAAATAGCATAAGTAATTGTCGTGAATTCGTGTTCCGTCCTTGATTTTCAACAAAGTCATGTTTATATCCTCTTCATGAATGAAAACATTTTGGTGTATTTTTAGTCAGTATACGTCTGTTCAAGTTTTACATTTTCTACGTGAAAAATTCCGATTAAATGGGTTAGTGTGGATAATTTTAAGTCGGTGAAAATAGTTGTACCAAAATTCTGGGTTAACACGGTTTTTACAATTAATTATTTCATGTTGCAATCCTTGAACGTGATGGTCTTATTTACCTTTGAAGGCAAAGTCGTGAAGCGACTATAAATTCTAGTTGTTGCTTTTAAACAAACTTGGATAAAATATGGTGGAGGTTGGAGCCAGAGCCGGACGTTACATCATTTTGTAGTCGTCAAAGTTTCAGCATGTGTGCTGAAAAATATTTATAGGATTACGGATAGTGTAGTGTTTTGGCAGTTATCAGAGACGATTTATTATCACTGACACTAGAAACTGATAATAGTTAATTGATTTCGAAAGGCTGCAAGAGTTTAACTATTCGAAATAAACCAGGAGTTCTCTCCATTCTATAAAAAGTATTTTAAATACTTTTCAAACAACAATATTACAAAAAATATTACAGAGTCAATATTTCTTCATTTCAATAATAATTTATAAAACTTTATTAACTATAGTTATTTGTATTACAAAGGAGGAAAAGACACTTTTCTCCAGTGTAATACATACGAATATAATTTCCAGCAAAAAAAACTGCAAAATTAACAATCTCTTTTGATATCCCAGTTTCGCCATTAAATCTAGCAACATGTTACTTCGTTTCAAAATTTTTACCTTCTTAAGAGGTTACATGTATTTTTATTCTAATTTTGACGGAGGATGGAGGTAATTGGCCATTTTCCATTTTGAAATTAGTGAAATTAAGGTGGAAAAACTTTCTGTTTTCTGTAGGAGAAATATATTATTGATTGCCCAGAACAAAAAAGTATTTTTCTACAGCTGTTAAATTATAAGAAAATTATTAGCATTTTTTATGAAGACGGAGGAGGGAGGTAATTGGCCATTTTCCATTTTGAAATTAGTGAAATTAAGGTGGAAAAGCTTTCTGTTTTCTGTAGGAGAAATATATTATTGATTGCCCAGAACAAAAAAGTATTTTTCTACAGCTGTTAAATTATAAGAAAATTATTAGCATTTTCTTATGAAGTTGAAAGAAAATGAAAATATAATTAAAAACAATAGGATTTTTTTTTAGATTTCTTAAATATGGATTTAATAAAAAGAAAATATTCGTAAAAGAGAAGGGGAGATAAATGGTTGAAAATCAATTTTTATTTTATAGGAGAAGTTAGAAAAATGTTCAGTTCACACAGAGCTTTAATTTGGCGAAAGGCGAAAACATTTAAAAAAAAAGGCGGTGTGACAAAATAAAAAAATAATTGAAACATTATTTTTAACTGTTTACAATCATAATGATTTAAACTAAATACTCTTACAAAAATAAAACTGGAAAAAGTGATACAAAATTAATCTGATACACATTTGACAGTTCTGATAAACTTGTCGTTAATGAACAATACTTGTACCTACTTTTAAAAGATAATTGTAATTTTTTTATATCTTGATTAATAGTCGCATCAAATTAAAGACAATCACAAGTGCATTTCCAATAGATTTTTATTTAGTTACAACTTATTTTAATCAAGGAATTACGAATTTTGAGTTAATTCATTCAAACGAAAGGTTTCGTCGAGGGTCTTGTTGTATATGGTATTTGGTTTCAATAATTCTAATCTAAACTAAAAAAAGGTAAATAATTTTTAAAACTTTTATTGAAATTGTGATCAGATTTATTCATTCTGGAATAATAAATTCAACCACAATTTCAAACTAACGGAGCAATACGTTACTTGAAAACTGGAGTATACTACTTTTTTGGTCTGGTTTTACTCGAAACAAAATTAGTCAAAATATTACATTTTGTTATTTTGGGGGTAAGTTGAAGGTAAAAATCGATTCTTTAGTCAGTTATCAAGTGAAATGTCTATAAATAAAAAGATTTTTGTTATTTTCTATAAGAATGATTAATTATATTACTTACTTCCTCTTCTATTGTTTATTTTATCTTTAGGTTCTTCTACTTAAAGTAAAGTAAGTCAGTAACTTTGTTAATATTCAGCAAAAGTTTGTCGGTTCTATAAAGTTAGCTTTGGCGGTGTTTAGTCTTGATTTTTGAGCTTCAATGAAATGTTCAAATACGTGTCTTGTGAACAAATTAATTTAAACTAATTTCCAAAGCGACATTGACCGTAAAAACGCCTGTTTTTTTTCTTCAGAATGCTAAAAATTTCGGTAATTTAATCTTTCGATGTCATCTCTCAGAAACGAGAGAATCACAGGACTTCTCATATTACGAGTACATGACACATTGTCATTATTTCATTATTAATAGAGTCAACCCTCGAAATGAGCTCTTCTTTTTAATATGCACGCAATAGCATCATTAAAACATTGTCCCAAACAAGCCACAATCATGTCCAATTGTCCCCTTTGATTATTTTATTTTCGTCGCGGTTACTTTATCACTCTCATACGGAAATCGCGACCTTACCGGAAACCAATTAATTCCCCATTTCCTCTTGTTTAGGTAAAACTCTTTGCCAGGCATGCAAAAAGAAGTGTTCCGGTGAAGTCCTCCGCGTCCAAGACAAGTACTTCCACACGCAATGCTTCAAATGCAAAGTGTGTGGAAACTCGTTGGCCCAAGGTGGATTTTTCTCCAAAGATGGTGCTTATTTTTGTACGGCTGATTACCAGAGGAATTTTGGTACGAAATGTGCCACTTGTCACGATTACGTCGAGGGAGAGGTTGTGACGGCGCTGGGGAAGACTTACCACAAGAAGTGTTTCACGTGTGATCGATGCAGACAGCCGCCACCTGATGAAAAAGTTACCTACACGGGGAAAGAGATACTTTGCCAAAAATGTGTTCAGATTCCGGTTAGGGACGGGACGCCTAAAACTAGCCCCACCAATAATAATGCCAATGGTAAGAGTGTCAATTGATTAATTAGTTTTCGAGAATGCACTGGACTGAATTAACATTACTCAGGCGCCTACATGGCTGCTGATTGACGAATTAGATCATGGCGATTATGCAGTTAGCGCACGGAAAGAGCGGACTAAATCAATATTATCTAGTTTCTCCTCTAGTTGCACCTATTTTCCATACTAAAGTTACAAATATCAGAAGTTTATAATTATACATACTGAATGAAGTATTATACGTATCCTACAGTTTTATTTTAATGAAAAATAATTTAATTAAATTAATGAACTTGATTGAATTTATTTATGTCATTTTTTTCCTATTTTTTTCTTTATTGATTTCCACTTTTACTTTTACATTTATATTTTTTTCTTACTGTAAAAATACCGATGTTTAATGTATGATTGGACATTTCTGGTCCATGGAATTATACTATTAACCAAAAACTTAACAGAATATAAAAAGTTACAGAGTAAAGTTGTCAAATGCGTTTTATATTCTCAAAATATAATTTGAACACCAAAACTTTAAATACTATAATATAAATTCCAGTAACAATAACTAGGCGACATTTTTTCAATTTTTTTTTTGTAACGTTGATAAAAAATACCTGTATCCTGTTATTTAGTTCAGAAAATCTAAAAATGATCACGAAAATTCTCCATCACGTAACTTTTTTTTTGTTTTCATGATATAGAGTGAACTAAAAAAATGCATTAAACCATTTCTAATTTTAAACTACACAAAATAGAACACTCAATAATAAATTGAACACAAATTTAACAAAGAAATATTTTCAAGAATTTCGTTTTTGTTTTTTATGAGCACTAAAGTTTGTAAAATATTTCAGAAGGTAATAGTATGGACCAAAACAAAGAGAAAATTTCTTAATCATGGGTCCGCAAAGTAACCGTTTCGGAGATATCGAAAATTATTCGTTCTTTGAAACATTTATTTGCAGTCTGTTCAAACAAAAAAGAGAAATTTCTAGTAGAAATTTATTAACACTTTTTTGTTTATTTTGGTCCACATTATTACCTCCTTAAATATTTTACATATTTTTTAACACCCTGTATATTTTGTTACCTTTTTTCCATGGCACTGATACGAGTATCTTGATGAAAACGCTCTTGTTAATCACTTACAATCCTTATGTTTTGTGGAAAAAAATCGAATCGGAAAAAGCGCAAACGTGCAGCTAGACATTCGGCAGCCAAGTGTTTAATTTTTCCAATATTTTTTAGATAAATATAGAATAATTTTCATTTCCATTATTGCCAAAAAATCTGTGGACTACACTTTTAAAAGAAATTCAAGCAAGCAGTTAGATAATTCTTGGGTAACATATTTAATTTTTGCACAAAAACCTCATTATCGATCACACTACAAAAATTCGTTCCCGGATTTTTGCATCACTTACTTTAGGGCAATTTGGTCTTTGATACATAAAGGATTCATATCCTTACTTACTTAAATAGAAAATAAATTGATTTGCGATTACAAATCAGTAGTTAAGGATGAAATCTAAATTTATTYCCCATAATGCCCTAGGTTAACGATTATCAAATAAAAATCATTCATTAAAAATGTGACGTGTCGTAAAGTCTGTTTTTTCTTTAAATGGAAATTACCAAGTCAAAATTTTAGTGAAAAAATTGGTAGCAGCTTGTCTTCATAGAGACAAATTTTGTTTGCTCTTTGTTTTTGTCCCTAGAAATTTTGTTAAAAAATTATGGTTATGTTTTCAAATTGAAATGTTGTCAAAATTTTGATTTTTATGAATCTTGTGTGCCTGTTTGCTCTTTGAAGCGCTATAATTGAATACCTGAGGACAGACATCATTACCTAAGCTCTAAAGACAGCATTCAGTGCTAATAATTTTGATAGAAACACACCGCAAGTAAGTACAATGTTGTGGACAAAAATGAGGTTCTTGCTACAAAAACTTTGAAGAAAAAGGATATTTATACGGAAGAAAGTTATTTAGCAAAAGATACAAGTGGATATTATATGATGATTGCCAATAAAGTTTGTGTAATTTATTGAAATGAGTTCAATGTTGATGCATTTTGTAAATTCTTCTTCAAGTTTAGTGTTAAAATTTTTCAACTCGTTCCTCAAAAACGATGCACACAAGACACTAATTTAATTGCGTTCTTTTCGAGGTTCTTTCTCATTTATGTCTATTTTGTATTCTTGTCAATTTCTTGCTAAAAATTGAGAATGTTTAGCAAACCTGCATTACAAATTGCGTCTACATTTTAACGGGCCCTTTTTCTAATTTCCTGCTTGCGAACTATTTGTTTCCAAATTTCTAAAAACTGTTAACGGTTCTGAATTTGTTTCTTTTTGGTGTTTCGCCTCTAAATTTTCTTACACGATTTTTTATGTTGACGTTTAATGACATTGTTTTCAAATTAATTCAAAAAACCGGAACTGCCAACTTCCTTTATTAAAATTACCATGAATGAATTTACTAGTGGTGCCAACGTTAAGACGGTTTGGCATTTCCATTTAAAAAAAAAACGGACTTTAGGTTTTTTATTTTAACCATTACTATAGTCAAATGACGTGTTTTAAGACTGGTACCAAAAATTTTGCTTGTTAGAAACATCGTGTCGCCTAGTTTAGTTAGCCCAAATTTATCAAAATATATGTATGGGACTGTACTAACATAACGAAAACTTCATTTAAATTTTTGCCATAAAAATTTGGAGGTGTAGAATTTTTAATTATTTTTTTATTTATTGGTGACAATTGACACCTGAATATTAATTTTTTTTATTTCATTACAAGCCTGTGTCATTAAATAAATAAAAACAAACAACTATGTTTATTTTATTACTTTTATCTTTTCCCCAGAGGAGCATATAGCTAATTACAAAATAAACCTTATATCTGCGGAATTTGCAACCACAGCCGCAGAATCCAATTTTGGTCCAAAAAACCTCATTTTTCCATTAAAATCCCACATTCCGTTATTTTCAATTAAGATTATAGCGAATTCAGCTCGCATTCTCGTCAAATTTCGCTCCATACATGCACCAAATTCTCTAATCGCGACGATAACCAAACTCGACACAACTATAAATATCTCGATAAAATACAACACGCTTTTATTAATTTTTTGATCTTCGATACAAATCATGATTAAAATTACAGAATGCGCCGGATGCGGCAAAGAACTGAACGAAGGACAAGCTCTGGTCGCTTTAGACCAACAATGGCACATATGGTGTTTCAAGTGTGGCACTTGTGGTGTCGTTTTACACGGGGAGTATATGGGAAGAAATGGACAGCCTTATTGCGAGAGGGATTACCAAAAACAATTCGGGATTAAGTGTGCTTATTGTAGCAGATATATCAGTGGAAAGGTGCTTCAGGTAGGTTGAATATGGATTTTTTTCCACAACTCGAGATTTAATTAACGGCTCTCTCGCGTAAAATGTGTTTTCCGTCACGGCTTTGGAATTAATCGAATTTGCATAAAAAATCAATGACATCAATTTAGCGCTGCTCGTAATGATAGATTACCAAATAAGATAAAGTCGCATTTTTGGATTTCATGGGAATGCACTTTTATTGCATCTAATATTGATATAAATCTATGACGATATAAAAATCTATTGATCATAAAAAATGAGGCAGTGAAAACCCCGTTTTTGACGTTTTATCGGTCATTGACATCGTTACGAACTTTTTAAAGAAGTTAGTCTTGAATACGTTAATGTTAAGTATAGAACGATTTTTGTTTTTAAGACAACTTAGATTGAAAGATTGTTTAATAAGATAGTAGTACACCTGTTATTTTTTCTCTGCCATTCACTTCCATGCCGGTACCTGTGTAACCATGCAGGGAAAGTAAAAGCATTTTTTTTTAAATTGCACAAAAGCCGGTTCTTTGTCCGAAGAAAATTTATATGTGGTTTTATGCAACAGTCGACGTATTACAACAAATTTGATTCAAGGTTACGAGTTTCATAATGGGAGAAAGTGAAATTTTGTCGGTACAACTGTTTATTTAATTTGAATGAAAGTTAAATTATACGGGTGTTACGCATCTCTTTGGAAATTAAATTCTGAATCATCGTAACATCCTCTTTTCAATTGATGTGAAGGCCGATACTTGAAGTGGTTACAAGAGTTGGGTTTTAATAGATTTGGTCATTTGTAAACAAATTAGGAAGAGAAGCAGCAACTGACATTAATTGCGGCGATACTGCATAGCAATTTCCTGTTATTTCTGACTTAAAAAATATTCCCTTAAAAAAATCAAAAATGTTTGCTCATTTTTCTTTATTGAAAATGGTTTTAGGCTGGTGATAACCACCACTTCCACCCGACTTGCGCCCGCTGCACGAAATGCGGGGACCCTTTCGGCGACGGCGAGGAGATGTACCTCCAAGGGGGCGCCATTTGGCACCCGCGATGCGGCCCCGGTCCCACCGAAAACGGCCAAATTTTGAACGGTTCAGGTGAGCCAAACGGCCACTGCACCGACACCGACGCTTCTGTTAGAGAATTCGACAGGATGAGTAGTTCCGGAGTGAGCGAAATGCAGGTATTTTTCGTTTTTTGTCCATTTATTATGTTCCCTTTTGTTTTTTCGTTTTGCCGTTGTAGTAGTTTTATTTTTTTGCATGGTATTTTACAGTTCTCCATGCGCTCTCGCACCCCTAGCTTGAACGGTTCGTTATACAGTCCCACAAGCATGTCTAGAAAGGTTTGTTTCATTTTTTTGCTCGTTCCTTATTTTTGTGTTGTGATTTTCGGTTTGTTCGTATTGAAAAATTGGCGCTTTTTCGCAGCATTTCAGTTACCGAACACCATCGCCCGGCTTGATATTAAGAGAACATAACAAATCAGCGACTCTAGCCGACGATATTTCCAGAATTTACACTTATAGTTACCTTACGGAAGAACCGACTTTAGGGTATTTACGCAGACCGATTGATCCCTACGACAAAGCTCCAACTTCGCCACATTTCCATAGACCGACTTGTGAGTTTCTAATTTTTGTATCAAAACCACCTAAATAATTCAAATTGTAGCCCAAAATTCATTAAGGGGAAGTCAAAGTGGTCGAAAAAGTCACGGTTCAAGGTCAGCAATGAAAGTTTTAGTCGATTCAATTAGAAGTGAAACACCGAGGCCTAAATCGCCGCATATGAATAACGAAGAGCCAATAGAATTAGCCCATTTCCCGGATGCCAAACCGCCAAAACCCGGGGAACCACCGAAAATCGAGAGGGACGATTTTCCGGCACCACCCTACCCCTACACCGACCCTGGTAATTTTATAAAAAACTAATTTTTTAACTTTGAACATTCGGTTTGTAATTTACAAAATTGAACATTTTTAATTGGCCAGAATCGTTTCTAAACTTTATTAAAAAATTATTTCAATATTATCCTAGACATTGTTTTTTTTTCTAGATATTACTAAAGTTCAAACCTTTTTTAAAAGAATGTCTTATACCAATTTAACCAATTCTTTCTCAAAGAAAACAATGTTTTAGTTGATGTCAAGCTTTATTTTCTTCCACATAATAACAACATATTGTGTTTTTTATTATTAGAACGTCGGAAAAGATGGTCCGATTCGTACAAAGGTGTGCCGGACTCGGACGAGGACGAAGTTGACTCTGCCGCCCCAAAAATCGAAGACCTGAAACTGAAGAAGGAAGAAGAAGAGCTAAGCAAAATATCCAGCGGCATCGGAAAAGTGTTTCTCAAAGACGTCAAAGACCGCGAGAAATTGCGCCAATGGAAGGCCGCCCATTTAGACCCGCGGAACGCCTCCAGGTAGAAAAATGCACTATAACTGGAGCAAGTGTTGATTGTTTTGTTTTAGAACACCATCAGCGAACAAAGAACCATCGTACAGATTGAGATATGACAACCCGATTGGTGCAAGTCCTTCGCGGAATATGGACCATCCAAAACCCTTCGACGAGGACGACTATGACCGGTCATACAGCGGCAGGTCATCGGTGGGACGCTCCATAAATTATAACGGTAAGTGTGAGTACATACACGCAACTTGGAACACAATTTTCTTATTTTAAATTAGATACAAAGTGAGTGGGTGGGTTTTTATGTAAATGTTAAGTACTTGAAGCGATCGAATGGTAATTGCGACACCCACACACTTGTCATGAAGTATTTAACGTTTAATTATTTGATCGTCTGAAGGGTTTTACTAATTTAAAATAAGAAATTGGGACCCCCAGGGGACGGTGTGAGAATGTATAAAAATTATTTACATAAAACGAATTGAGTTTTTAGCTTCAATTGGCAGGTAATTTCTAGAAAGGTGAGAGGTGAATGTCGGGAAATTATTACAAACACGTAATAACAAATAAAAATTTAGGCATGCGTTATTTCCTTAAATTTTTTAAATTAATTTCCCCTAGAATTTGTAATAAATTTTTTGCATGTTTTGCTTTATAAATAGCCACAGTTTTCTATTATGATTTTGCATTTTATTATTTTGCGTGTTGTACAGTAGTCTCATCATTGCGAAGTGTCCCTAGACCAGGTTATGGGTTAAAATCGTCAACACTGCCTGCTAGAAACGGATATGTAAGTAGTGTTAGTCTTAAGGGACGTTTCCGAATTTCGCGAAATTCGCAAACGTCGAAAACACACAACATGCGGTCTCACATTCTTATTTTCCATTTTCATTTTATCATTTTTGTATCTTCACTCTTCCTCTGCCCAGTTGTGAGCGCTCTGCGACATGTTCCTAAGCCGGGTTATGGTTTGGCGCCTCGATCTCATACATTCAGTTCATCGGCGGGTAGTTATCCGCAGATTCCTGTAAGTGCGACACTAGGCATGCTTATCGTGATTGGTCGTTGTGCACGTCAAAATATGTATATCGGGTGGACGAAAAGTCAGAAATTTGAAATTTGCTTTTGGGGGTTGGTATTAAAAAATGGGTATACTGCTCATGCACACCTTTGTGTCCTATTTGTAAACATTTTTGAGACAGTAAACCACTGTACATATTTTTTCGAACACCCGATATTTGTGAATTTTTCAAGTCACTTGATTGGTCTAAAACTTTCACCCTTCATGAGAAAATTTTTCCATTTTTCCCCCGAACTGGTTGAAAATTTTCATGTCTCGTTTCTCTAGCTTAGTCATGTCGTCCTGTCATCATGTACTTATTCATCGCATGTTTTGTGTGTTTCTAATCCCTCCAAAATCGGGAAATTCGGATGTTTAATTACGTTCCTCCTTCACAGGGTGATTATTCGTTTAGCGGGATGGGTGCAAAAACCCATAGCACTGACTTCAGTTGTGGAAAATCTGACAGTAAGTATTTCATCGTTTATCAGTAGAATCTGGCTTTTAAGCGGCTTTTTTGACACATTTTCTAAAAATTTTACGCACCGAAAACTCGGGTGTCTTTTGGTGGGATCGAGAGAAATGTTTTAACAATTTTTTTGAGTAATATGCTGCTTACTTCTCCTTGGTTGTTTTTTCAAAACCGTATTTGCTTTATGCATGATTTTGCGTCCTACGAAATCGAACGAAATGATACCGAAATGAAATTGTAGGCTAATTTTTCGAATATTTTATAAGCTAGAATGTTAAGTTAATGCTTTTTCTTCAGTTTCCACTGGATCCATCACGGATGTTGAAAGACGTGCTCTGGTATGTAAATAATGCTTTTATCTAACTTTTTTCTATGTAACGCTCGAAATAACCGCTTTTTTAATTTTCAAGCGTTTTCGTTCTGTGTTAATACACCTTTTCTGATTTTTATTTATTTGCCTTTTAATTAGTTCAAGGTGAAGGTAAATTAATCGTTTAGTTAAAGTTTAGGGAGCAACAAAATTATAAAACAAAAAAATAAAATTAAAACAAAAAAAAATAAATTGGTAACGTTTTTTCACAATTAGCTTCAAAGTTCGCCACAAAGATACAATTTCTGGCATTCGAGCCCCTAAAATCGTATTTTTACTAAAAAAATTACATTTCATTATGGAGAAATATTTTCAAAACTTCTATTTTCTGTCTCCATTTTTTTCATAACTGATAAGAATTGGAAAGGCACGGTATATGGTATAGAACAAACAAAACTGAAATTTGCAAAAACTTTTTTACACTGTAATAGCTACAGCAATTAAGAATGAAAAACCTATTGAACACCCGTTATGATTATGACTTTTAAAATTGTGTTTTTTGCAACGTTTTGTAGTTAATGTGACGGAACGGTGTATTTAACTGTTTAAAATCTTTCTGTTCATATTCCCGGTGAAATTTTTATTGTGACTGCAATAATTTGTCTTCCATAAATTGTTAAATCGTTGGTGAGTCACCACAATATTCTACTTTTAAAATTCTTGTACTTTCATATTTTGGTTTGTTTTGGGGGCTCACCCTGAACGTGAATAAAATTTTGTTGCTTTTTTCGGCTTAGAGTTTTGGTGGTGGTCCCGCATTGTTATTTTTGTTTTCTGTTTTTTTGTTTTTTCGTAATTGTGTTGTGTAATAGAATTCCGAAATGCCCGTCTCGGCGACTTACATGGGCGGCCTGGGGCGCTACCCGGGCGGGTACTCATCACAAGTGCGACGGTCCCTTCCAAACATGGCCCACACAATGCTGATAAACGAGCCGGCCAAAATCTACCCTTACCACTTGCTTGTGATCACTAATTACAGACTGCCTTCTGATGTCGACAGATGTAATCTTGAGGTAAGCTAATCACTTATCTTATAATTAAATAATTTATATTTTTTTTTGTAGCGACATCTGTCGGATGCTGAATTCGAAGCAATTTTCCAAGTCGCGCGGACCGATTTTTACCGACTACCCCAATGGCGCAGAAATGAACTAAAACGTAGAGCTCGCTTGTTTTAAACTCTTAATGTGCTACTAGATGCTGCTTGAGTGCTAAATCACCACGCTAAAGGCTGCTATACACTGCGATGTGTAACTTTTGGTTTTCTTTGAATGTTCCTTTAATTTACCGACTGGATCATTCTTCGCCATAGTTTAAGTTGACAAGGTTTCTATGAAAAGTGCTAGAGTAGCTCTCGGTTTTTTTACGGATTTTATTCCATAGTAGATAAAAACAATATTTTTCTACTTATTTGAATTTGTTATAATCTGTATTTCTATTGGTGGTAATCTTGAAGGATTAAACAATTTTTAATCATAGGACAAATTGGCTATATTCAGAGATTGATATTTTTTCTATAGGATAAGTGTATAATTAAGTAGTGCTAAGATAGTTAAAAATTATTTATAAAAAATGGCATTTAGATTGCTTTAATTATTGCTTTGGGCTAGTCGTATAATCTTTTGTACAATTTGTTAGTGCTGTCAAGGACTTTGTGGTACCTTTTTATTTCTGGTAAATTGTTTTAAGCCTAAATTCATTTTCAATGAGTGTTTCAATTTGTTACAAGCTATTTATTTCTCCTAAAATAACGATTTTAAAGCTTTAGGTATCTAAGATTTGTTGATAATTGCTCTGATAAATAAAAAACTTTTAAATATGACTTGTTTACTTTTTAAAATCATTCAATACATTTTTCAAACTCATATATGAATAAAAAGGTGCTACTTTCTACATAATAAAACATTTAAATAAAAACCTTAATTAGCAGATTCACATGCATCTATCCAATCGTTATATACATCCACAGGTTCTGATAAAAAATTGATAGTTGTTTGAAAGTCTTCAAGACACACTCGGCACGTTATTCTTGCCGTATTTCGACCCTTATCCCTACAAAACATCAGGCATTACACAACAAAACACAACGATTTATAAATAATCACATTTTAACATCACACGACTTTTCGTGGTTGCAAAAAGGGCAGTTGAATTGCTGGTCTAGAGGTTCCACAGCTTTTCGTTTCGGTGCCGGTTTTCGTTTAGATTTTCTTCGACCCATTAGAACACACTAAAATTCTTGTAAAAAATGTTTTTTCAACACAATTAGGCCCCAAAGTTTACAAAAAAGGACCGGACCAAAATAAACAGTTTTTTGACCACATTTGACAGTTGACTTTTGACAGTAGCACCAACGTAATGGCGACAATATTAAAAATTTGCACGTAATTGTGAATTTAATTAATGTTAGCGCCTATAAAATTTGTATTATTTTTAATACTATGTCATAAATAAGTTGCCAAAGTTATGTTATACCCTGAAATAAGTAATTTTGGGCTTGAGGTAACAATTTGTTATGTTGGCGCCTCTGTCTCAGGTGTGATGATATAACCTCACATTTTATGCAAAGTTGTTGTTACATATTGTGAAACAGTTTCAATTAAAACCAGTTGTTTTGTTGTACAGCAAGCAGTTGTTTTGTTGTACAGCAATGTTTCAACCCGAGTTTCAGGCTGTGGTGTTGGCTGCGGGTAAAGGTTCCCGTATGCCCGAAATTACCTCAGGCAAGCCCAAATGTTTACTCCCCGTGGGCACGAAGCCCCTCGTCTGGTACCCTTTACACAAGTTGCAAAAGTCGGGTTTTACAGGTATGTGCGGTAGCTGTTTGAAATTTCATAACTGAAAAACTTTCAGATGTAATTCTTGTCGTGTTAGAGAATTACAAAAGCGACATTCAGGCCACTCTTGACAAAACCGAGCTTGAAATCAAAATCGATTACTTTCCTATCAGTGGAAAAGAGGATTTAGGCACTGCTGACTCTCTAAGACTCCTCCATGACCGTTTAAAGTCTGATGTTCTTGTCATTTCGTGCGATTTTATCACTGATTTTAATTTAAAAGGCGTTTTGGACCTGTTTCGAATGCACGATGCTTCGGTCGCGTCCTTATTTTTCCATCCACACGCGGGAGAAAATTTGCTTATTCCGGGACCGAAATCTAAACATAAACCTGAACGTGATTTGGTCGGGATTGATGTGCAAACAAATCGATTGGTATTTTTAGCTTCTGCGAGCGATTTTGAAAGCGAATTATCCCTACCGCGATCCTTGCTCAAAAAACATACTCATATTAAAATGCACAGCAATTTGGTAGACTCACACGTTTACGTTATAAAAAATTGGGTGATCAAATATTTAAACAGCCAACCGAATTTTTCAACAATCAAAGGCGAGCTTTTGCCCCATATTGTCAAAAAACAATTATCTAAGCCCCCTAAAGTAGTCGAGGGCAAATCGATTGTTAGCAAATGCGACAGTGAAGACATTTTTAATTACGCGAAAGAGGACCCTTTTAGTATTATAATTAGAGACTCCTCATCATACAACGACCATATCGGTGACTCCAAACCCACTTATCACGGTGATAGTATCCGGTGTTACGCGTTATTAGCCCCCAGAGACTCATTCGGAGTCCGAGTCAACACATTAGCGAGTTACTGGGCCATTAATAGCAAAGTGCGTGTTTAATTCGTCCGGCATGAGCCCCCTTTGAGAATAATTTGCATTGTAGGTCAGCGAAAAGTGGGACAAAATCACAAATGGCTTAAATCTCGTCCTTAAACATCCCACAAGTGAGAATAAATCAAGTCAAGTGGATGATAAATGTGTTATTTGGGAGGGAGCCAAGTTGCACGAGAAGACCTCGTTTAAAAATTCAATTATTGGGGCTAATAGTGAAGTTTGCAGTTTTTCGAGAGTTTTTAATTGTATTGTTATGAATAATGTGACGATTAAGGAGAAGTGGGTTTTTCATTAGTGTGAATTGTGGTTGCAGAATTGTGTTTCAGGGTTGCGTTGGAAAATTGTATAGTTTCAGATGGGGTCACGATTGAGAAGGGTTGCCAGATTAAGGGTTGTTTGATCGGAAGTCATCATTTGGTGCCCGAAAATTCAGAACACAGTCAAGAGGTACTCACGGATTCGGACCGGTTGATGGAATTTTAATTTTTTATTTTTGTACATAATGCATTATAAAAAATACGAATATAAAGAACATATTTATTTTTACTTTCCTTAATTATAATTGTTAACTTAAATAATAAGGAAGGAAACATTATAGCTTCCAAAATTGATGAATTAGTGATTTTGTTTATTGCCAATAAAATTAAAGAAATTGATATTTGAAAAGCGCTAAAATCTTTGGCAAGTTTTTACGATATCTAGTAAATGAAATTCTCGAAATCCATTCCTGTAAAGTTAAATTTAGATTTTACGCATGTTTTACATATATTGGTGGTCTACAAATTTCTTAAATGCGTCATTGCGTTCTGGGAATATCTCGAATTGCTTTGGAAAGAGCTAATATTCATCAAAATTTTTACAAAAATTTTTCTATTCTTTTTTTGCTCTAAAAATAAAAAAGTGTGCAATTAAACTAAAATATTAATCTTAAAAACGATAGCAAACAACCGGTTGAGAGGTTACCAAAAATATCAATTAACCTTAAACCATTTTTTACTGAAAAAATGTAATTTAAAAAACAATAAAACACAAGTACCATTGAAGTGAATTTTAAAACATGAACGAAATAACTGAATAAATAAAAAAAAGGAAATATTAATATTAAACTACCTACTAATAATAATTAAAAAATTGTTGCGTTTGATATAAAAAATAACTTTTGCTTACAAGAGAAAGTATTGTTATATCTATGTTTAGTGCATGTAATTAATAAATAAGTCGGTTCATAAGAAATCAAGAAATATGATTGTCAGAATGAGCAAATTAACCATTTTATTAAAAAATAACATATATAAAAAGCACAAATATAATTTTTACAAAGCATTCAATCAATAAAAACATGCATTTAGTAAATTAACATAAAGAAGAAATAAAAAATCCCATTACTGCTTCAGATAAATTATTAAAATAATAAACATGGCGTTTCCAGCCAATTCAAGATAAATTATTAAAATAATAAGATTTATAAACATTTATATACTAACATATAAGTACTTTTAATGTACAGTTTAGATAAATAAGATTGCTGAAAATGCTTTCAGGAAAATTTAATTAAAAAAAAAACATTTTCTTTCCCATTTTTTTTCTATGGTAAAAAATTTTCATTCAAGGGTACTACTTACCAACACATGTTTCGACAAGCAAATTGACATCATCAGTCCGAATTACGGTCCGTTTTATCAGTTTTTCTCTAGTTTCGATTGTTTTCCTAAATAATCCAAACTAAGGTTTTTCTCCAACTTACGAAATCGCTTTATCAAAAAAGAGATTACTTTATTAACAGATAAATTTTCGCTTTGTGAAAATCGGTACCTGTTATGCTTTCTAAATTATATTACCTTTTTTCAATATATTAGGTAATTTTTTTCATTTTTTTTTGTTTTTCTTTGAAAAAAGGGGAGGGAATGAAACTCCGTTCGCAAAATGCAGGTTTCCACTTTATTTCTTAAGATTCATAAGTATATACAAAAATACTATACAAACTTTAAAATCTAAAGAAACGCGTAGTATGTATTATATACAATGATAATAAAACGACATTTATTACAGTGATACAACTTCCATTACACTTACTTATTTGAAAACTTGGAAAAGACGAAGGAGCCGCAGGTTCGAATTTACACAACAAAATGCAACTCCCTGGATAAAAAACTTCCGATAAATTATACGAAAATGTAATAAAACATCGTTAAGTACAAACAACCGGCAACGATTCAAAGTGCAAAACTTTAACAATAAGCTAAAGCTAAGAGAACTTGTGATAAAAATTCAGGCACTAATGGCTGATGAAATGAAAATAATCAAGCGACGTGACGCAATGAAAATGGTCCCTGCAGCCGTAAAAACTCATATAATACATTCAAGTAAAAAGAAACCAATTTATTTCGCCCCTGAGATACGAAATTTTGACAACAAATTGTACACTATCTAATAAATTAATCTACAATTAAACAAAAGTCACGAAAAGTCCTTTTGTACCCAAGGAAGTTAAAACCTAATTGATCTTCTTCGAGTTGCGCTCTATTACGGTTTGGCTCACAAAGCCGTTTGTGCTACCATTCGAATAGCAAGCTTTGTACGAATCGGAATATTCGCTTTTGATATAAGTGTTATTGAGAGTGCCGTTACTGTCGGACTTTTTAACAGTTCCGTTTTGTTGCTTCTCATCGTCGAGGACAGGCTGTAACAATTATTATTATTAATGACAAAGAAWCGAGTTAAATCCATTAAACTCACCATGCAGGCACCGTTATTACTACTTTTCACAGCCTTACTGTTGGTGTATTTAACTTTATAAAAGTCGGAAAATAGAAATAAGAACATGACCCCATGCAAAGCGATCCAAATCATGAAACCCTTCGGGTAATTACACTCAGTGAAGAGAAGTTGAAATTGGTGAGTGAAAATCGCCACGAACTGCACCATCTGGAAAGTAGTGAGATATTTCTTCCACCAGATGTATTTCTGGTACTGGGGTCCCATCGCCGCTACCATATAATAAAAATACATAATAATATGTACGAATGTGTTGAGCAAAGCGAAGAAAGTGCTGTGGCCACCTGGAAAATTTCATGTCAAATTTAAAGTAACAGAAAAAATAAAAATTCGAACCTGGCGCAAATTTCATCCCCATCCATACCGAAAATGGCATGCAGCCATGATGGATCACGTGGAGTGTGGACACGTGACTATTTTTCTTCCGCAAAATGAAAAATAGTGTGTCGAAAAATTCGGTAAACTTCGAGAAGTAGTACCACCAGCATGTCCGCGCCATCTGGGGAAAAATCAATAAGGAACTTTTTCAACAAAAGCTTAATTCTAATACTATTAAATTTAATTGAAAACGAGACAACACAATAACATTGATAGTTTCATAGAAAAAATATTTATGTGACTCATTCGACAATCTTCCGATTTTTTCGCTTTTATCAACAATTTGTTTGGTAATCAAAAGTTATAAATGAAATAAAAAAATAACAAATCAATTTTACGAATTTTCGTTAAAATAATTTATTTTTAACGCAAATATTTATTATTTAAGTCTATGTGTTCTAACTTTGCGATAGCCCCGCCTATCTCATATGCGTAGCACAAATTAAGTCTTTCTTTTTTCTTCTTTAATAATAAAACCAATAAGTGTGCTAATAATATCAGTAAATCAATTCCTGAAATATTTCCTACAATTTTTTTAACTGTATTCATACAAATCCATTATAAAGAAAATTCTGCTTCATTCGTTAGCTCCGCCCACCTCACTCTTGCAAAAACCAAGGCAAACARCCTAATTTKATTGGTCARATATTATGTAGGAGGGGCAATACGCATTACACGAATTTTATTAAGTACGGCCTTTTTTAATAATAAAATATTAATCATTCGTAAAAATTTTTAGATGGCTCATCATACAATCTTATCTAWGTATAATCTTGTGATTTTTGTAATGAATCATCCATTTTTAGCCTACTTTGATGATAATCGAGATAATAAGAAAATATCACTATACCTATAACTAAATTATACTTTKCTGGGTTCAGTGAAGCTGCCTKAACTCCGCCCATTTAAATTCCAACCAACAAATCAGGCCAAAAACTAAACCACATTATTTTATTGGTTA